TCGAAGCAGCGTCACAATTCCCTAAATTTTTCACGACGGCCAGTTCTATCACTAACTCTCTAGACCTGGTGTAAAACAATTAAAACGACTATTAAAAAAAACAACTATTTAAAACGATTCAAATAGTGGTGATTAATATTAATACACAAATGACAAATGAACATTCGGAAAAATCAAGGATTGAACATTGACAAATTCATTGTAAACTAAAATTATTGCACGTGACTTGCTGGAATTGAATTACCATTTCCGGTGAGATAATGCGCCTTCTAAAATCTAAATATACGATGAATGATTTTATAATTTATTTTCTTATCTTTAAAAAATTGAATTTTCAAATCAAAGAAAATAAATTATAAAATCATTCATCGTATATTTAGATGGCGCATTATCCCACTGGTAATTGTAACCCAATTCTAGAAAGTCCGGCGTCCGACAAAGTTCACCACTAAGTTCTAACCTGGGCCTAATTAGATAAAATATTTAAAATATGAGGAGAACCGTGCACCTTATCTGTGCTACAAACAATGTCATACGACATGATATTCCAATGGTTTAACCAGACAAGCACTAGATCTCCTAGCGAACACCTCTAAAACAGCACAGATACAAACTGAGAGGCCAGAGCATCCAGCAACCAGCCAGCATCCTTGAGTGTATGTCATAAACTTTATCACCATCAGAGCCACCAGGTGACCAGCATACACTGATAGCATCCACGATATTATCCACAGAGATGAGGCCTGGGACTTGTTCTTTCTGGTGAATCTTCTTTTCGCGAGGGTCACTTGTGTCTCCTCCAGCGCCGGAAGTGCAGCAATGGAAATGAGTTGGGTTCCAAGCCCGATGAAAAATGTCCCAGCGTAAGCCAACTTAGGGACGATTTCGAACAAACCCCACAGATGTTGTCCAGGAAAGATGAGGGAGAGTCCTATGGTGGAAAGGAGAGCTCCGACTATCATTGTCTTAAAGTTGGACACCCAGCCCATTTGTAGAATGTACCCTGCTCCAGCTGATCCGATTATAAATGATACAAACATGACGGTCACGTAGGTGCTGCCCTGGCCTGTCTCCATTGCAAACTTGTCTTGTAGGTAAGGGGTTATGATAGCTGAGGCATATCCTTCGATCATTGCAGTCAGACCATGACCAACTAGAGGAAATATCACCAGCCAAGAGAGGCCATTTTCACATGATTCATCGGAGTTTGAGTTCTGGGATGTCATATCCCGCTTATTAGATTGTCCATTTTCATGATTGACTTCCTCAGCTTGAGCTTTCCGATAGACAGGATCCGAGATTCTTGGCATGATGAAGAAATTATACAGCCAGAAAGCTATACAAATCAGACTAACAACAAAGTACGGCTCGTTGAAGCTGAGAGTCTGATATACATAGCCGCTGACAAGAATGCACAGACCTCCTCCCAGATGATTAGCACTCATCTCCAAACCCACAGTGAGGTTAAAATGGTCAGGGAACCACACCCTACAGCATGTGACTGTTGCTTTGCAGCAGATGAAGGCCAAGAAGCCATGAATCAGCCTTTGCAGCATGAGGATAACGGCAAGAAGTTGGTTATATTCTATAGGAAGATATTCTGCCAAACCCTGACCTAAAGAGAAACGCAATCAATGCTTTATCAGAATGGGAGAAAAAAACATGATTAATAATAAAGAGTAACTTTTGAATCGGTTTAATTTTTCATTGGCAAATCCTTGATTTCTGCGGCGCAACTTAATTATCAATATTTTGATACTTCATTTAAGTTAATGGATGATACCTGTATAATATTAACATCGTTGATGAGTTGCGAATCAACTCTGCGCGCGTGTTTAAGTAGGTTATAAGCCTACAAAATTTCAGTAGAAATGGCTGCAAGGCTGATCTCATAACCGGATCGCTAATAAGAATTGATAGGACGACATTTGTGATTGGATCTTTAAAAAGTCTAACCTGCACAATTGACAATCAGTAACGCCATAACGAAGCACTGAACAGCATGTAACGAGAACTTCCTGACGCGGAGCAAATATTCCAGAATATCGTAAATTGCGTTCAGGAGGTGTCCAAAGGCGGGTATCATACCGATCAATCCGACTTGCATCTCCGGAATTCCTGCAAAATATGCGCTAGAAAAAATTGTTATGTGAATGTTCCTGCAAAGTACATTCGGAGATTATACTTCGAAGTGGGATGTTAAAGTCAAAATCAAAGTTTTATTACAACTAAACGAACATACAGCCGTTCCTTTATTCACCTCTATTCACAAGATGGGTCACATAGAAAGAAGAGGATAGCACTGAGCAGGAATATACCAGAGCTCCTTGTAGACACACAGCAATAAACACTAGTAACGCTTTACCCCTCTCTTTGCTGGGCCCAGAGATGTAGACACCCATTTCAACTGAAACTTAACATACTTTTATTTTTTAAGGGGGGGGGGGGGGGGGGGGGGGGGGGGGGGGGGGGTTCACCCTGATTTTTTTGTGAAACTTGGTTTCGAGATAGCAGTTGACCAACAAACTATGACCGGTGATCAAACTTTAGAGGGGGTCCCGGACCCCAACCGCCAAACGGTGCCCGCGGGGCAGCCACGCCCATATTTGGTCCAAATTAGGCCCAATTTAGCCAAATAGCCTGAACATGCCCAAAAACCAGATTTTAGGTGCTTCACTTGTAGCTAGTGGTCCCCTGAACTCGTATATGAATTTTCATTAAGATTGGACAAATAATGACCGAGTTATGAGCCAAAAACCATATGACCATATTTGGGCATACGCACCAAATTTGATCGATTTTGACCCATAAATTGGTCAAATATCAATATTTTTGAATGAAACCAACTTTACATGGAAGGTAAGCCTATACTACACATCCTCTATGATTATCAGCTCAGTATCTACCAAACTGTGGATTCTGCGTTCAAATAATCGCAAAAAATGAACAAAATCGTCCATATCTCAGTTCGCGATATTTGCGAAACTGATTTCGCTCAAAACAATTGAACTCAATAGGGTTTCAATATTTTTACATGAATTTTTCAGAATCAACGTAGAATTGCATTTCGACCTTAAGTTTTGTATTGGAATTTTGAGTTAGGCCTTTAAAAAAATTTGGCGGCCAAATTCTGAAAAATGCCAGGCAAATTTTGGAATTTGGCCGCTAAATTTTTTTAAAGGTAGTATAGGCTTACCTTCCATATAAAGTTGGTTTCATTCAAAAATATTGATATTTGACCAATCTATGGGCCAAAATCGATCAAATTTGGTGCGTATGCCCAAATATGGTCATATGGTTTTTGGCTCATAACTCGGTCATTTTTTGTCCAATCTTAATGAAAATTCATATACGAGTTCAGGGGACCACTAGCTACATGTAAAGCACCTAAAATCTGGTTTTTGGGCATGTTCAGGCTATTTGGCTAAATTGGGCCTAATTTGGACCAAATATGGGCGTGGCTGCCCCGCGGGCACCGTTTGGCGGTTGGGGTCCGGGACCCCCTCAAAAGTTTGGTCACCGGTCCTAGTTTGTTGGTCAACTGCTATCTCGAAACCAAGTTTCACAAAAAAATCAGGGTGAACCCCCCCCCCCCCCCCCCCCCCCCTTAATGCATCTATGAGTATGATAAATTAAATTATTGCTCGATCTTTCATTCTGTGAATTTGTACTATATTTTCACGTATTAACAACCTTGACAAATAAAACCCAAGGAAAACTGACAACTTAGAATGGATCATGCGTGCGTTGATAAAAATTACAATATTTTCGGAAAATTTGAACTTATTATCGAGCAAAGAAAAGCAAAAAATGCAATACTATTTCAAAAATAGTGATAATATGTAAATTGTAAAATGAAACTAAGTGATTAGAGTAGTTTGACAGGATGGGCTGACTTTTAAGTGTGTCTGTGGTAGCGTTTTGCCAGCATTCTGGCGGCACTCTGGCGGCACTCTGGCGGCACTTCAGTAGTCTGGGTCAGTGGAAATCGTTCTACGGGAACATCTGTACGTAAATTATAGGCTCATAAACTTCACTCAGTTCTCTTTGACAAGTTAGACTGGGGAAATTATTTAAAATTTGATTGATTGGTACCCCGTCAAGCTCAATATTAGAGATATTAAAGAGATCTACTCCCTCTAATTATCGAAAACGTACGGCAAAATTCATCCACTTCATAAAATTTACTCAATACTCAATTAAATTACTTGTTCACTTAACACCTTGCTCACCAGGAAACTTTGAAGGGGCGCCTTAAGTATATAGCCCTGAAAATCCCCATTTAACAACATTTAGTTTAGGGCAGATGGCTTTATCAATAACAATAATGGTCGAAAACCTACAGGTATGATCTCTGGGAACATCAGTGATCTCATCAGTGAACTCAATCCGCACTTTATATTTATCATTAAAATTTTGCATTTTTGAAATTGCTAAAAAATCGAGTTCATGCATTTGTTTGCTATTGTAAGTTCTTGAAGCAAGTATAGTGTATACGACATAACTGATCAAACAACAAATCGTTCACAAACTGAAACAGTTGTAATAATAATATTCCAAATAATAGGTACGGAAAAGATATTTTCGGCTCATAATGATCATGAACCGTGGAGAAAAGTGGTCTCCACGAAAGCTCCAGCGGGTCGGGCCTGGATTACGTAATATTTCTGACAGGAGGGGGGGGGAGGTGGGGTCTTGATTACGGAGGGAGGGGAGAGGCAGGGGACAAAAGGATTTCGCGATCATTTTGGCCAAATTTCGCGATACCGCGAAATTTAACAGGCTATACATTAAACTATACATAAAATTTGTCGCGGAGAATGGGAAATTTCGCGATTTCGTACATGCCGCGAAATCCTTTTGTCCCTGGGGAGAGGGGATTCTGGCCGGCCCTAATTCATTAGCTAAGCGGTGATGTTTCAACGTTTTTTATTAGACATTTGAAAGTTGATATTTAAAAACTATCATCGCAACCCTGCTAACATTTCATCTTGTTTCAGTTCAAAGCGTATGCGGGATGCAGTCTCGTCTGGTAAGCCTCACATCAACCTCTCCTTCTCCGAGCACCGGGCTATAAACCAGTGGGTAAACTATGTGGAGTGCTTTGCGTCTGATGTCTCTTCTGGGAGGGACCTGTGTGAAACCTACGCTGTAAGATCTTATAATTCTGGGAATTGAGACGTTTTATTTTTCCAACTGTTTAAAATTTGGAAAACATCACAATTCACAATATGATGTGACCTATGCGTGTAAGAGACTTTGTAATAAGATTCATCAGATAAACTTGTTTTACATTTACAAATTTAGTTGGATTAACCCCCATTTATTCCTCAGAACCACGGATATTGTAAGGAAGGTAAGAAGTGCCCTAAATCCCACAACGTTGACGAAGCAATTATATCCCACGACCACAAGAGCAAGAAGCACAAAACGGAAGGTAAAGTACCACCGATAAAGAGTAAGCACAGTAACGGGGACGCGGTCGACACGGGATGCCACAGAGCCGGGGTGGACGCTTTCATGACTGGTAATTAGTTAAATTGTATCATCTAATATGCCAATTTAATTTATAAAGAAGTTGGTTTTATTTTCTTAGATTAACCACCATAATGGTTTGTTTTATATTGGTTTTTGCTAGGAATGAGGTCTCTTAATACTGATGTTCAACTTTCAAAGCTGTGTCAGAATTTAGTGCAAACCATTTGAGAACAAGACATTATTTTCTATTCTTACTAACGGGAGCATCAGAAATATATCAGTTATCAGTTATCATCGGCTTTCTCTTCCAGGTTTTATCGTCGCAAACTATGCAGTGTACCTGAAAGCTCACCCGAAGAAAGCAAAAGGAGAAGAAGAAGAGAAGACGTCGAGCAAGAAGTCACACTACCAATCACGTGACAACCACATGTCAGTCACGCTGGAGGAGAACAGAGACATTCCTCTCCCTCTAGTTTTAGATCCTTGTCGGAGAGCTGTGAACTGTTTGACGCTCTCTGGTAAAAACATTCCTCTAAAAGTTATGAAGAGTGCGTTTGTGAAACCTTCCGCTGCCCACATGAGGCAACAGCATGAAATAATAAAGAAAAGTGCAAAATGATATTTTCATGGCCCATGGAATTTAATGTGGCTTCTTTTCACGTGCTGATGATTAATTTTTGGCGACTTGACTTTTTTATATCTTGACTGTAAATCTTAAGTGATTTGTTTGTTTGCAAATGACACCCTTAACTGTAATGGACAATGGATAACAGTAAATGTGATGTTATTGAATTGAAACAGTACAAGTTTTATAATCATTGTTTAAGTTTAACTGGACACTTTGGTGGTAGTAAAGCTCAATTCAGACTAAAAAACTACATATTGTTTGTTTTAGTTTCAACTTCATATCCAGACTCGATTCGGGTACGATGTTCCATCAAAAATTCGAACGTCTGCACTCAGCCTGAAATTAAAAACTCGGAATATCAATAAATTAAAATCTTACTGGGCGGCGATCAACCAAGGACTATAAGTCGCCCGTTCACTACAATTACAGTAGTTCGTTACTATAAAGAGACCGGTATCACCTGATAAATTGATTTAAACCTTGATACAAATTTTCTGTGATAAGCGGTGGTCTATAAACCAAGACGTAGCACGTATTGATGGTGTCAAAACGGGCTCTTACTAATTCGCTCGCCCAAAAATTTCACGTGACTTTGGTTTTTATAGTTTTGCAGCCGTACAAAACGGTTTTACATAAACCCTAATCTTGACCATTGTTAATGATCTGGCCCGGCGCGCGCTACTTCGTAGCTCGTGCCGTCGGGCCAACATTTCGAGAAGAAAGCGGCGCGCGCTACTTCGAAGAAATTTAGACGAGTAACATCCGTCAACCCTAATCCCAACCCTAACCATAACCATAACCACTACCCTAACCCTAACCCGAGCCCTAAACAATCGAATTCGTATTTTACTAGCCTGTCACGTGACCAAAACGGCTTTTTGCCCATAACTCTCCAGGGAAGCATTTTAACCCTACGTCATGGGGGGTGATTCGGAATCAGCGTCCAAAATACACCGATTTAGATCACTTTCATGCCCAAAGAGCCTTTTCACAAGTATTTCTTAAAATTTGGGCGAGCGATTTAGTAGGAGCGGTCAAAACGACAGAAAATTCCTTCGCAAATACCATCATCAAAGGTGTGGCATTTACTAACAGGAAGTATGGGAGTAGAGGAGCACACCTCCACCCACTCTAGCATCTCGGTCCGAGCGGGAAACCACATATAGTACATAGAGTATTTGCACAATACTGTGTGGACGAGCTGGCACCTAGCTCCTTTCTTACAACCACCCTTGTTTTGGTTGCCAAAGCTGCAAAATCTAGGGCAATATCTGGGATGATTGAACTCACATGGACTGCCGTCTACAAACTTGTTGCCTTTCAGGCCATGAGGACATTTTCCCTTCTTGCATTGCGAACAAACATTTTGATCCTTAGCCACTGTTTCAAGTTTATCTTGAAGTTTGGATTGTGGATTGAAAGTCTTCGTCGAGAGAATTGGGCTGATCAATATGAATATGAGTTGTCTGACTATTCTCCTCAATATACAACAATACTTTGATTGCAAGACTGTTGAGTAGGGGAGGAGGTCTGACTTTTAAGCTCACTCATAATCTTGGATAGTGTGGGATCAGGTTTGATGATGCTGCTATGTCTTGATTTAGACTTTCTGGGTTTGAGGGGGTTATGTGTATTGTGTAGCTTTACAGTCCTTACACATCCACACGTGCCCAGATAGGAGACTGATTATAGATGCTTCCGACATACATTTGTGGAAAGTTTCGACATTCTCGCAGTTGTGAGATCCCCGGAAGCATGTGTAGCAAACGAATTAGTAGAGGCTCTTACGGGCAAAAAGACGTGTTTTCTGCTACGAGTTTAGAGACCTAACCGCTAATTGGACACAATAGTATGATGTCTAAGGATCGATAATATGTTAAGAAGTATAAATTTGGACTTATTAGTCACGTGCTATACCAATGCGCGTTTTAAACTTTGACAGTCTATTACTCTAAGGCAAATAGAGTAATTATATTCATATTTTGTCAGCAATAAGATCACATTATTTTCTATTTAGTGTGAAAATATGAGCTAGAACGGACATAATCTCGCTGAGTTATAGCTGTTTGAAATTTATGATGAACGCGCGGGTGCCAATTGATAACAACTAAATGCTTTTGCGCGTAGTGCGCGTCGAAAATTTGGCAAAAACGCTTGCGGAGTGACAATATTCAAACTTCGATAAAGTATATGAAGTGGGTACTTCTCGGAAAGGAAAAATTTAGGCAAACACGATGTGACTATTTTTGGGTTGATTTAATACAACTGCAAAAAATTATTCAAACTTCAAGCAAAAAAGTCAAAATTTTTACCACTTTTTTGGATTTTTACCTCAGAACAAATAGAGGGATTTGTTTTATTTTTATACAATCTTGTGCGGCTGTCTTTTAGCTATCTTTATGCAAGTTTTGCCGACATGCCAACAAAATTAACTTGCTCAAAATATCAAAAAACATGGTTTTTTTGGCCTATTTTTGGCCCAAAAATCGGTTTTTTTGCGATTTTACCCCAGAACAATCAGTCCAATCATCTTGAAACCACTTTCAATCGATTCTACGGTCAAAAATACGTCTAGTAAGGTGTATCTGGGGTCCCTAACGTATCGAGCAGACAATGCCCGTAAGAGCCTCTACTAAATAAGGGTGGCTCTTCAGCATCCAATTCGACAACATATGATTCGTTGCAGTCACCGCAGGAAGTTGGAAGAAGTGAAGAGATACCAAATATGATGCGGTATACCAATGACTCCTTGGTGTACAGTTTATTGTTATCTACGTCTGCAAGGTTAATACTGAGAAACTCTGCACATGTCTCCAGAATATCCAAATTAAACTGATTCAGTTGTTTGTAGTTGACGGTACGCTTAGCAAATGGATCAAATGCAGTGAGGACACCCGACACGTTTAACTAGTACATTACTATTAGACTCTGCCCGGAGAAGCAGGCCCCCAATCGCAGTTTTAATCTGATTCTCTGTGTCCATATTGACAAAAATTGACAGTTGACACGTCTTATTCTTCAAATGTACCCGATAATATGTACTATTTCCAATATCAATATGTACACAAACCGCCACAGTATGCAGCAGTATCGAGCTGATAAGCTATTAAAGATAAGGGAGACAAAAAATAGCAACGTATTAAACAACGTATTAAATCGCTGCCCTATTCACACAAGCATCATTCAATTTTTCTGAACAGTTATTAAAGTTTAGCAAGTCCCAATTGCATTTTGACCAGTCTGTATAGTGGATTGCTAACAATTAAAGTTGAAATGGAGTTTAACGTCTCTGGGCTGGACAAAGAGAGGGGTAAAGCGTTACTGGTGTTTGTTGCAGTGTGTCTACAAGGAGCTCTGGTATATTCCTGCGCAGTGCTAGCCTCAACTTTCTATGTGACCCATCTTGTGAATAGAGGTGAATAGAGGAACGGCGGCATGTTCGTTTAGTTGTAATAAATATTTGATTTTGGCTTTCACATTCCACTTCTGACTTCGAGGTATAATCTCCGAAGGTACTTTACAGCAACATTTACATAACAATTCTTTCTAACGCATATTTCGCAGGAATTCCGGAGATTCAAGTCGGATTGATCGGTATGATACCCGCCTTTGGACACCTCCTGAGCGCGATTTACGATATTCTGGAATATTTGCTCCACGTCAGGAAGTTCTCGTTACATGCTGTTCAGTGCTTCGTTATGGCGTTACTGATTGTTAATTGTGCAGGTAAGACTTTTTAAAGATCCAATCACAAATTTCATGTATCAAATTCAAACCAGCCCCTTTCGGACAGGGCTCACGTCCGTTAGTACATACATATTGCGTTACATGAAAACGGAATATACACAGAAATGGAATGTGAACACATGCCGAGAGCTCAAACACTTCTTAATATACTTCATAATACATAGCTACTTAGTACTTACTAAACTGTCACATGAACCCTACCCAGGTTCTTGGTTGTCCGGCTGTTAGGATGGTTATAATATGGATCACATCACAAATGATACGTCACTGATTGGGCCATGTGATATGATACCTGTGGGAGGCCGGAATGAGAGGTTCCTAGTTGTCGGTCACCGGCCTGAATGTCAACAAATCGACTTCAAACACCGCTGTGTGGGGTGACACTGGAAGATACCCGCTTGCCATCGAGCTTACGTCCCAAGTCTATAGCTACCTCGGGAGGTTGGAGGGACTTGACAAAGAGGGATGCTCTTCTTTAGTAAGGCACGCTTACGCCGAGCAGAGGGATCTGAATCTGTTATGGTTCTCCCGGCTGGAATCCACCAAGAACACTGTGAAACAACTGACAGGAGGAAGTGATATCTCAAACCCGCTCGAAATCAGCGAGGCTATGAAAACCCTTTTCGTTCAACAATGGAACAAAGAGCGAAAACTCAACAGAAAACTAGGATTCTACAACCTCATCAAGGCAAGCTTCGGTTGCGAAACATACCTGTCGATCAACCTACGGCCACAGCAGACTAGGAGACTTGCGCAACTCAGAACAAGCTCGCATCAATACAACATCGAAACTGGAAGACATGGCATGCATCGACATAAACTTTCGAATAGGGCATGCAAACACTGTTCCACTACAGATGCGGAGTCACTTGATCTTCTTCTAGAGCTTCCTTTCCCTGATCCAATCATCGAAGATGAACTTCATGTATTGCGTACTTGCCCTCTCTATGAAGATCTCCGCCACTGTTTGTCCCAACAAAGTAAAACATTACTCTTCTCTGACATTGGACAGATCTTCGCACACCCTTCAACCATCGGAGACCTAGGAAGGTTCCTTACCAAAGCTCATGAACGAAGATTCCCTAAAGCGTCCTCCAAACAAATTCCTAACATTAACAATATTGCCAAATTATAATCTATGACTCGGAACACTTTCAAAAAAGTTCAGTTAAATTATTAAGTATTTTGAATCTCACTCTTAAGATTTACAGGGTTCATTGTATATATTATATATTTTATGACTTTTGGGTAAATCTAATTTTTTATATCTGGTCAGACATTACCATTGTAATTTGACTTTTGAATCGTTTAATCCGTTTAATCCGGCCTTGCAGCCATTTTTACTGAAATTTTAAAGGTTTAGTGTAACGTTACTAATTAAACGTACACGCGCAGAGATGCTTCGCAACTCATCAACGATGTTAATATTATACAGGTATCATCCATTAACATAAATTAAGAATCAAAAGATTAATAATTAAGTTGCGCCACAGAAATCAAGGAGTTGCCACAGAAAAATTAACCCAATTCAAAACTTACTCATTATTATTACTCATGTTTTTTCCCATTCTGATAAAGAATTAATTGTGTTTCTCTTTAGGTCAGGGTGTGGCAGAATATCTTCCTACAAAATATAACCAACTTCTTGCCGTTATCCTCATGCTGCAAAGGCTGGTTCTGGGCGCACTGTCCTTCATTAGCTGTAAAACGGCAGTAACAAGCTGTAGGGTGTGGTTCCCTGACCATTTTAACCTTACTGTGGGTTTGTATATAAGTTCTGATTATCTAGGAGGAGGTCTGTCCATCCTTATTAGCGGCTACGTATATCAGGCTCACAGCTTCAACGAGCCGTACTTTGTTGTTAGTCTGATTTGTGTAGCTTTTTGGCTGTATAATTTCTTCATCTTGCCAAGAACCTCGGACCCTGTGTATCGGAAAGCTCAAGCTGAGGAAGTCAATCATGAAAATGGACAATCTAATTCTAACAAGCAGGCTATGACATCTCAGAACTCAAACTCGGATGAGCCGTGTGAAAATGGTCTCTCTTGGCTGGTGATATTTCCTCTAGTTGGTCAAGGTCTGACTGCTATGATCGAAGGATATGCCTCAGCTATCACAACCCCTTACCTACAAGACAAGTTTGCAATGGAGACAGGCCAGGGAAGTACCTATGTGACCGTCATGTTCGTATCATTTATAATCGGATCAGCTGGAGCAGGGTACATTCTACAAATGGGCTGGGTGTCCAACTTTAAGACAATGATAGTCGGAGCTCTCCTTTCTATCATAGGAATCTTTCTCATCTTTCCTGGACAACATCTGTGGGGTTTGTTCGACATCGTCCCTAAGTTGGCTTACGCTGGGACATTTTTCATCGGGCTTGGAACCCAACTCATTTCCATTGCTGCACTTCCGGCGCTGGAGGAGACACAAGTGACCCTTGCGAAAAGAAGATACACTAGAAAGAACAAGTCCCAGGCCTCATCTCTGTGGATAATATCGTGGACGTTATCAATGTATGTTGGTCACCTGGTGGCTCTGATGGTGATAAAGTTTATGACATACACTCAAGGATGCTGGCTGGTTGCTGGAAGCTCTGGCCTCTCTGTTTGTATCTGTGCTGTTTTAGAGGTGTTCGCCAGGAGATCTCGTGCTCGTCTGGTTAAACCAGTGGAATAGACTGCAAAGTGAACTTGAGAAAGCTGAGTTAGTGATTTAACTGACTTACATGATAACTATAAGGGGTCGTTCGCCTTTTACTTTAAGTTTATCAATTTTTTTGCAATCATTCAACTGTACTCATTTGGAAACCTCATTGTAAATAAATAGTGTTATCAAAGAACAAAATCGTTTATTTTACAGTCACGGTGTGAATTCTAGAACGTGGTTTAAATTGTGAATTGATACATTTTGTAATATGCAACAAGCAGACCCCGCTGTGCGGGGGCGCCGTATAAGGGGGGCGCAATTTTCCTGAATTTTAGGCCCTTTCACTGAAAAAACGCCTTGTTTGTGTATTTCCCTGTCCAATTTAGCGTTCGGTCGACGCGAAAAAAATATTTGGGGTACCCTTTTTTACTTCAGGGGGCGCAAAAAGCTGTAGGGGGGCGAGAAAAAAAGTACCCGACCTTTTTTTTTTTTTTTTTTTTTTTAGGGACACAAAATTTTAGGGGGGCGCTTTTCGTCACTGAGCGGGGGGCGCCAACAGGCAAAGTTACACCACTGTGTAGACGGCAGTCCATGTGAGTTCAATCATCCCAGATATTGCCCTAGATTTTGCAGCTTTGGGTGGTTGTAAGAAAGGAGCTAGGTGCCAGCTCGTCCACCCAGTATTGTGCAAATACTCTATATACTATATGTGGTTTCCCGCTCGGACCGAGATGCTAGAGTGGGTGGAGGTGTGCTCCTCTACTCCCATATGAATATTCCTGTTAGTGAATGCCGGCGGGTCATACAACGTATGACAAGTAAAAGTCGCGTAATTTGACCAAATTCGTCCAAATTTGACCATTTTTGTCGTATTATTCGGATTTATTTTCAGTTCCTTAACATTCTGGAAATTGGCGACGACCTTCCAATAGGGCTTTCACAATTGTTCAAAAAATTGGTGGATATCGGAGTTGATATAGTGATCAAAATGGGGCAAAATACGCTGCTTTTAGCTGTAACACAATGTGAATGTCTGATGGTTGGATATGCTTTAAATTTTTCGGGCACTTTCCTTGTAAGTCTATGAGTAAGCTTACCAATTTTTGTTGCAATTGGAGGTCGGGAAAGATACTCAATATTTATTTGTTTGAAGAAAATTGTGCTGGCCGAAATTAGCGCTAAAAAACCATCCTACAGTCGGCACGCGCGGCTCACTCATCACTGTCGATGGCGCACTACCTAATAAGAGGTATAAAAAATGTATCAATTTAAACCACGTTCTAGAATTCACACCGTGAATTCTAGCAATTGCAACCCTTGCGCGCGGCTAGTCGTCATGCATCATGGTAACGGACGGGAGGAATACAAAATATTTAAACCCACCCGGCCCACCTCAATTATCCAAGTCCGATAAATCCCTCTTTTCCTGCAAAAAACGACCATTCGTATTTTTGATCCTTTCACTATTTAATTGCTTTTTTACAAAAATGTATGATAATGGAAAAAATACTAAATTTGGTGTGAAAGCAGCAATGTGGTTATTGTAGCGCAATGCACTACTGGGCCGCGCCGCGCATCTTCTCGTTGATCAACGAGAAGATGCGCGGCGCGGCCCAGTAGACCATTAACAATGGTCGACCATTGTTAATGGTCTACTTCGAAGAAATTTATACGAGTAACATCCGTCAAATCTTCTCGAAACCACACCGTATGCAGATCGGCGAGATGCGAAGTTAAGGATTGCATTGACATCGTCAATCAATGTTGTTATAGTAATTAGTGTAATAAGCGCCAAGCGCGAGCAGAGCGAACTTTTTTCCCCCGATTTCGATAAATTTGGTAACAAAAGTTGTCTAAAAATGTGAATAAAATAAATCCACCGTGTATACTGTATAAGCAATTTTCGTTGAAAATGCTACACGGCTTCACCTAACCATGTAACCATGTAATGTGCTTTCGCGCTACTGCAGCGCAAGGGCTCTGGATAGAGCTTACCTGGGGACCTCAGGCTATCATGTTCATAAACATAAATAGAGATTAGGCGGAATGACAGGCTGAGCGCGGCCCAGTAAGATAGAGCAACTAATATACACGGCGCTTGTTTACCGCGCGTGCTTTTTTCACGCAAATTTTTAGTTTGGAGGACTTTGCCGTTTCGACGCATCGCGCAAACTAGCATTCTTGCTTCGCTTCGTCGTCGATCGTTGCTTTGCTTCGCAGAGCAACGATCTCGATGGATTGCCATCGTCAATAAAATTTTTAGTTTTTGGGCCGGCCTATAACTTTCACATTTTCATTTATTATCACATTATCATTATGACATCGTAATCAGCTCATCGAAACGAAACTTTAGTATACTAACATTTTATAAAATTTAAAGGAAAATTATTTTCAACATTTTTTAATCTGAACACAACACACAAGGGTTTTTTGCATGTTATGCGTGAATGGGGAAATTTTGAACAAATTTCTAAAAAATTTGGTGCTGCAAATATTATAATTTTGGTACCAAAAGTTGCATCTGAGTTTGCTCTAACCAGAGCCCTTTCGCTTGCAGTAGCGTGCGACCGCCGAAGGCGGCAAAGGAGTTCTATTCTACTTGTGAAACAAGCGCGTCACGCAGTACGCGTATACACATGGCTATGTGAAACGAAAGCACATGATTAGGTTTACTGGGCCGCGCTCAGCCTGTCATCCCGCCGAATCTCTATTCTATGATTCTATGATTATGAACATATATATAATAGCCTGAGGTCCCCAGGTAAGGTTATGTGAATATTTTAGGAGTTATAGGCATTTTAAGCAATAAATTAATCATTTTTCGTCCTTTGTAAATTCTTGTAATGCACATGAGGCCCACATACAGCTCGAGGTTACTGTGCTACACCATACACGGCGAATTTTCATTATTCACAGTTAGAGGCAACTTTTGGTACCAAATTTGTCAAAATCAGAGACAAAAATGCTGTGCCAGCTCATGGCGCTTATTACATATAGAGACATAAAATGTTCACCCGCAAGTTGGCGCTCTTAGTATATACACTAATAGACTATAATTGCGAAATTGAAACAAAATTATCAATATTTTCGATTTTCGATTTTCGATTTTTTTTTCACAAAGAACCATATTTATAACAGTCCATATTTGTAACACCCATAAATCCCTCCCTAATATTACCGACTAAGGTTTGCTCTAACCAGAGCCCTCTCGCTTGCAGTAGCGCGACCGCCGTACGCGTCACGCAGTACGCGTATACACATGGCTATGTGAAGACTAAGGTAACTAAAATTCAACTTTGAAAGTCAATGGATTATTATATTATTATATTAGTGACAACAAAATTATAGTTTAAGACATCCATTCTGCGCAGTGGTTCCAATATTAGAATTTATGATATGTATTGATTGAACAATTGGTAATAAAGTTAACTTTCGTTTTATTAACTTTTGTTTTTATTATGTATATATAACTTAGAATGCTTATTGGTGTTTTTACATATCATGCAGACGTTATCAACTAATAACTCCTAAACTGAGCGTTTTTGAGAAGATAATGTGCACGAGTCGGCACTTGCGAACAATTTGCTGTCAGCAAAAGACTCTTTGACCATAAAACTCTTTGATGTACTAAAAAGTCTTTATGACGTGGACAAATAAATCTCAGCTAAATATTACAATATTTGATATCGCATACTATAAACCCGGTCTAAAATTGGATAATAATTGTCAGCAACTGTCAGAAAACTGTTTTATTCACCTAATTCTAGGTTTTCCAAAGTACAGCACGCCTTCCTGCTGCCAGCATTTCCACTGTAGCTGGCCCCTGAACATGTTATATGTTACTCACGTTTAGATTTAATAATATGGCAGGCTTATTTTGGTTTCTCGGAGATGTTGATCAAATGATATACACACACTAAAAACACACTTGTAACTTGTTAAATAAACTAATGTATACTACTTGTATTTTTAGGGATCTACACAATTACCATTGTTTTCTGATAAACCAAGGTCGTCTGGGTTATCATGCAGAACAACTCCTTTCCCAATTATACCATGAAGTCCAGTCATCTCAAAGGGGGCCTCTTTCACAGTATACCTCACAATTTTTGCCCCGTTGCTTTGGCTGTACCACTGTCTCCCTTCTGGTCTCCTCTTTTCCAACACATCTCCGGACTCAACAGTGAATATAGCCTTGAACTTCACTTGATCTGTGAATTAGTTTCTTTTCAGTACTCTGATGGATCACAAAATGCAATTGAAACTAAAGTTATCGAGGATGACGGCAGAGGCGGCTCATGGTTGTTGGCTGGCGGTTGTGTCGGGTGTCTTACATTCAAACGTTTGAGTAAAATAACAAGCTTTATATCGCGATATTTCCGGATACTTTTTCTTTTTTCTAGCACCAGATAATACTTTTAGGGCATCCACGGACGCCTGGACGCTCCAAATAGCCGCCTCTGGATGATGGAGAAGGAAGGAACTTGTGATTTTTAAGAATTTTGGCTTTGGAAATTGTATCTAAATTTCGTTTTCAGATATGTTTTACCAGTAAGGTGACACTGGACTCTGCACAAATAGGACATTACAGTGAAAAATCTAAGCTATAGCTATAACATAACATAACATACAAGAAAGTGATTCTAAGCTACTTATTTAAGTGTAAGTTATTGAAAAAGAGAGATCTTAACAACAACAATTATAACAGGACTCACTATCCTCTCCTGATTTAATGTTAGCAAAGTCTCCCACATGTCTCACATCGCAGTCTGCACAGCCATGGTTGACAACTTCTGGGTTGAAGTGTCCTCCTGTTGTACCACAATCCCAGCTGTCTGATTGAATAAACTTGTAATCTACTTCGTTAAGAATTATTTGTCCTCAATTTCAAAAGAATTTGATACTTTGTTTTATTGGAATAAGTTATACCTAGTCCTGCAGTAGAACAATATCAAAAAATAAGTTATGAGTTGTTTTGGTTGACTGTAAGAACTGTTCATACCCATTGTCTCGTCCACACCGTTAGTGTGGACATGAAATCCATGCTCTCCAGTTTTCACGGTTTCCTCGTCAGACCTGAGCCTTGCTACCACGGTATACTTGTTTGTGCCTTCCTTCATGAATAACACCCTTCCTATTTCTTCCCCACTACCATGCTTTTTCATTGTGCATCCAGCCTTTATTGTTTGAGCAGAGTACACATCCAGAGTTATTATAGCAAGGCTGACGAGCAGAAATCCTAATCTCATAATTTTCCCCGAGCTGTGATAAATGGTGTTTTGAAAAATTGTTCTTAAAATTAATGGGGTTTTGAAAAATTATTCTTAAACTTAAGGAGGTTGTCGTGAAAACTGAGACCACCATCAGTCATCACTCTATTTCTAAGTGTGTTTAGTTGGCCAATTAACGACCTCATCTTACAAATTAAATACAAAATAGATAACCTTGTTATAGGTAAAGGAAAATATTGACTAAAAAGCCAATTTGTTCATCTTTAACAGTTCACCAGATGGTTATTGTGCGAGCTTTGGAACTGAAGCCTTTGCTGCTCACAGTAGGGTCACGTTGCACAGTCATCATATATTATTGCCATTCATCCGTGAACAAGTGATGGAAAAGTAATCCATTGAATTTATAAACTGTTTTCAAAATCGCGACAAAAAGCCTCGAAAATCGCGGCAATAGATTGAATGTTGGAAAATTTGCAATGCTAATTTAGACGTCATATTATGCTCATTGACATTTGATCGGCCCACGGGCCCATGCCCAATCTAGATAAACGAAAGTTCTTTTAACGAATTATCCGAGATAACTATCAGTTAAGATTATTGAAGTGGATACGACTTCGACTTACTCAACTTAGCTGGCAGCTTCAATGTCCGAGTAAAAAGTGGAGTGGATCAGAGGCAGCATGTAGGTACTAGGTGTCGTAATATTTTGCAAATAGTTCGATTCTGCAGCTTACTAAACACACACTACCTCCGCAATGTTTTATATTTGAGAGTTGTCGCTTCGGAGATGGCATACTGTACCTACTTGTTCGAGGAATCCGTCACCAAAATTTTAAAATTCGAATATTTTAGACCACGCCCATTCAATATTAAAACACCTATATTGTTCTCTCTGAACATGCTGGACGCTTAGTTTTTCAGAGACGGTAGATTATTAAATGTTGCATCTGATCTGAAAAAATTATGTGAAACGGATCAGAAATGACGAAGTTATCAAGCATTTTGTGTATCGTTAGCAAAATTTATTGGGTGATTATGTGACACCGTGACACGACAGCTTAATTTGGCAGCCTTAACGATTCCCATAATGTTTAACGGGGTCACCTTATCACGTGATTAAGTAACTAGTATCACCTGATCACACGTACTGAATAAACTCGTTATGCTTCGTATCTCGGTCATCTAAGAAGCTAAAACTCTAATATGACAAACGTTATTCGAATGGCCAAACACAATTCAATAAAATTTAGCTCGATCCGACTATCCAAACTATATCAAATAAATGCGAAAATGAACCTTCATTTGAAAAAAAATGAACACGAATATTTTTCGAGTTGACAAATTCCTCGAACCAGTGGTGGTACTAAGTCATACCAGAAAGAATTATTTCAATTGGGCACTCAGTGACTGAGCTATATAGGCCAACGTATGGGTACTGACTTTTGGCCCACCCTGTATGACGTATGTTCAGTGTTTCTATCGGGCAGAAAATCTCGTGAAGTCCTCTACTATAATGATTATCAGTTATCTCAATTCTAAATCGATAATTCTAAATCGATTTATTATAATAACACTACCGGTACTGTAGTTGAAAAATAATAAAGTAAACAATTTGCCACAGTCAGTAAAGAATGTAGCCTTACCGAATCCGGTCACACGCTCATAGAATGTAACATAATATAACAAAATATACCATAATATGACCTTATTTAGAAACAACTGGCCACTTTTTAAATGATGGACCTAGTGAGTTATTAAATAACATAAACAAATAACTCAGTAACGATATGACGCAGATTATCTTCTGCACTGTGTAACTGTAATCATCCATTAATTATTGTGTGTAATTTGGTCAACCTTTATGTGATCTGGTAGAGTTAGAAAGTCAGTTCCCATGTGTAATTTATCAACGACTGGCTGAACCATTTCATATTCTTGATCACATTTTCACTATTTTGTAAGCTATTTCCTCTTATAATTTTAATTGAATTTTTCGTTAATCTTTTACAGTGTGGACCCAACAAAAACACAGTTTTCAAAAAAATCAAATTTTAAAATTATACATCAATTCGAAGCAAGATTTTAAATAAAGAACTCGACTGCAAACTAAATTTTATTCTAAAATCAAGGGGTACATTGTCTAATGTCTAACAATTTTCATTAAAAAAAGAAATTTTTTCCCGTGCCAAAACATGTAAATTGTACTAAAAATAATGGTCTCGTCTATGATTCTCTGCTTATTTACCTTGTGCCTTCTTCAAGCAACTCCTTTGGACCTAACAAGTTAAAGGGGATGTCAAGTTGAATAGGTAATTAGTTTATCTGTATTTTTATCGATTTCCAATTAAGGTAATGTTCAATACCAATAGTAATAATTGCATTTATATATTATATTAATAAAACAGAGATTAGTATTCTGAGTTATATAAATTTTCAACAAAATATTCGATTGTGGAACATTAAAGTAGGTTCATCATGATACTCCGATGGTTTTACCTAATGGACTTTATTTGAACGGAAATTAATGTTATTTCATTCACCTTATTTTAATGGTTTTAAAGTGCAGCAAGCCACCCTTTCACCAGCGTTCCCATTGTACCGTACCTCTAAAAAGATCACTCACTTTAACAATGACAAGATTATTTCTATTACCCAGGGGCCAAAAATGTAGAAGCAAAACAAAAAAAGAAAAAAGCTCGATCATCTACCAGGTATTTGTTTTCTCAAGGAAAGATTGAGAAAGATTGAGAAAGATTGTGAAATATTTTAGGTGAAATTATTGCAGGATTATGCTCTTGGTTCATGATAGATTAAGTAATGTATACTGATTAAATCATAGAAGAGTTCATTATATAATCACCATTTTCATCATCCACTCCGAGGTCATCCGGATTCTCATGCAGCACTATACCTCTTCCCTCAATGTTGTGTTCTCCAGACATACCAAAAGGTTCCTTGCCTTTCACTCGATACACTGCATACTTCTCCCCTCTGCTTCTGTCATACCTCACTTCTGACTTTTTTCCTCCACCCCCAATAATGTAAGTGGCCTTGAAGTCCACCTGATCTGGCAATAAGTATTATTCTAGCAATCTGCTGAAAAAAATTGAAACAGAAAATATCACGGAGGTAAAGGACAAGGGTTTTGAAATTTTGGTCTTTAACATGAATCAACTGAGAGTTCCCTCAATTTTAAGTCATTAAAGTCTGTCTGCAAAACAAGATATTTATAGTAAGAGTCACGGAGAAAAGATATTTAACATAGAAATAAGCCTTACTGTTTTCTCCAGCTAGAACGTTACCAAAATCCCCCACATGTCTTACGTCGCAATCCGCACAGCCATGTTCAACTGAGTCTGGGTTGAAATGTTCTCCTGTAGATCCACAATCCCATGGTGACGGTGCACCTGATTAAATATATGTATCAGTTAAGAGTTACTTACGTTTTATTCTATAAAAATGCAACCTGGGTAGTCTGCAAGGTGTAATTTAGATTTGCTTAATTCCTTTATTTATTACTTTATATATAGCCCTCCTGTGAAATCAATGAATTAAAATATTGTTTTGTCTTATTAAGAATAATTTTTCAGTAGTTATTTGATGATGAATGTGTAAATGAAACAAGTCTTTAAAATAAAGTTTCAATTTTCTACTCACACATTTGCTGAGTACTGACCTTGACACCTTTGAGCATATTGAATTGAAACTGGTTCTTCTGTCCCCAATTCGAATTTTACCGTGTTAATACTACTTAAAAATTGTTCTTTGGCAGTAGTCAGCTCTCCGTATGGAATAGTGATCATAATCTGGAAGATAACTCCTCAAAAAATCATATTTATCAATTAGCTGGACAAGGAATTTATATTTTCATATTGGGAATACAATTTTGTTGAACCCTATGATCAAGTATAATCATTCAAGTAGAATCACAACACCAGAATAATATATAGTATTATATACTATATTAGTATTATATAGTACTATATGTAGTATTATATATATAATATAAAACCTCACCTTATCACCACATCTGAGTAAAAAAGCAGACTCGTGAAACTCAAAACCGTACTCCCGTCTCCCTTTCTCATCTGCTTCTGGATAGCTAACATCAACCCACTGGTACCCCCTCATCTCAATTCCTTGTCTAAACACACTGTTTTGCACTGCTAAATTCCCACGCTCTGGACGGAGTCCTATCAGTAGAATCTCCTCGTTATCTGCTGAGAATATGACGTCACCGTTCCTGGTCTCTCTCCTTCTATTATACCAGGAGTGTGGTCTGGAACGGGATTCACCGGAGGATACCACCCTCAGGGCACATTCTGTGCCATATTTGGTTGGTACTTGGTGTTCGGCTGTGATCAGGATGTCTGAAACAAGACTTTTTGTACGGCATAAGAAAAGTTTTAGGGGTTGTTGTAAAATGTTACCATTTTTCACCATTGGAATCCCCCCTCCCCCGATCAGTAAGAATCTGTGATGTCAATTCAGAAACTGTATTCTCTCTCTCTCTCTCTCTGTTCTGGTCAACGGTTTCTGGCCTCTTACGATAAAGATGGAGGCCTTCTCGCCGTGCCCACAGAATGCAACTCCTGCTAGCTGCATTCCAGGACTCCCAAAGTATATACGAAATCATAAAATAATAAATATCAATGCAACAGACCTCTGGAGTCTTGAAGCTGTCACTACCTGTCTCAGAGCAAACCCACTTCGGTTGTGGTACTTCGGTGGGCAGACAAGGGACTTCCGAGCCAGGTCATCTCCTGGAATTTGTGCTATTATTAGTTTTCCTGGGAGTGGGTTATTTACTGATGTTGTTTTCCTGAAATTGTGTTATTTCCTGGTGTTAATTCCTAGTAGTTTACCCAAAGAGATCTTCCTTGTCTAGTCTTTTTGACTGTTCCACAAACTTTATGATGTGGTTGAGTTTACTGTTGATAATTTCCTCCATTGTGAGTAGAGGTTTACCAAATATCCTCAGTCTGATAGTCATCAGCTGTACACATTCGCAGAGGAAATGTTGTGATGTTTCTGCTTCCCCTGGGCAGTGTTCGCAGTCTTGTGTCTCAAAGTTGACGTTGTTGGCCCTAGTCTGAAAGTAAGCTAGTGGGCTGTGCCCTGAAAGTAGCCATGTTAGCCATCTGAGGTGAGTTCCTGTGATATTAATATTCCTGTATTTGTATTTGTTAAGGAATAGTCCAAGAGGGATTTTCCCTTTATCACTGAGGTCGACCTGTCGGTATGCGTTGAGGTGTAGTTTGAGTAGGTACTCATCGATTGCGTTGTTGATGATTCCTTCAGGTAGTGGGAGGAATGGTTCAGGTCCTATGGGGATACTGCTGGATCCCTCTCTTGCGAGTTCGTCGGCAAGTTCGTTACCATGTACTCCTTCGTGTCCTGGGACCCACCTAAGTTCTACTCGGTGGGAGGTACCTAATGTATTAAGTTGGTCTACGATGTCCAGTACTATTCTGGAGCTAATGCTAGTGCTGGTAAGCGCTTTAAGCGAGGCCTGGGAATCTGAGAAAAAGTTAATGGTAGCTGGTAACCCTATGTTATCATTGATCCAGATACTTGCCATGTGGATCGCAAAGAGCTCGCATTGGTAGACTGTTGCCAGCGTGCCAAGTTGATAGCTGACTCTGTGGTACTCTTGTGCTGCTTTGATGACACAGAATCCCGCTCCTGTAATTCCACTTGCTTTCGAGCCGTCTGTAAAGATCTGCCAGATGTAGGGAGGAAGATTATCGATGTAGTTGATGGCAGCTTTCCTTTCTTGTATAATTACCTTGAAACGTCTGTCCAGCATGGTAACCTTGGGGATATTGTCCTGAAGTGTGCATCCTGTGTAAGTTATGTTAGTTATCATTTTCTCGACGTTGTAAGCGTGTGATTTACAGTGTCCTCGCTGGTTGTAATGGTACTGTTTATTCCATGTTCCTTGTAATTTAAGTCTCATTGCCGACTTAATTGCTAGAGATTTAAGTTTAAGGCTGATGGGACGGATTCTAGCTAGGATCTCCAGGTTAGGAGTGGGAGTACTTTTCAGTCCTCTAGTGATCATGAGACCTGCTTGGCGTTGAACTGTTTCCAGTCTGACAGAGATGTAGTGTCTGTCTGTTGAGTGTTGCCAAACTATCGCTGCATAACCTAGTGAGGGGAGAATGACTTGGTTATAGATCCATCTCACACCCGCCGGTGAGATGCCCCAGATTTTTCCTACAGCTTGTTTACAAGCGTGAAGTTGTCCTATGGCCTTATCACATTTTTTAAGTATGTGAGTACCCCAATTAAGTTTCTGGTCGAAAGTAACCCCTAGGTAGACTGTACTATTAACTGTGGGAACTGTAGTTCCGTCAACTGTTAGCGGGGAGTCTAGATTATTGTCCTGTTTGGTGGTGAATAGGATTGCTGTACTCTTGACTCCACTGAGTTTTAATCCTTTGCTCGTGCACCAGTTGCTGATGTTCTGTAGCTGTTGCTGGGCTATGTCTCTGATCGTGACTTTACAGATGCCTCGTACGAGGATTACCAAGTCGTCTGCGAATGCCTGTATAAAGTTATTGTGGATCCCTAGGCTGCTAAGGAAGGTGTTAAGAGTTAGATTCCATAATAGTGGTGACAATACTCCTCCTTGAGGGCTACCTTTAGTAGCTTTTTTAGTGATACTGAACTCGCAATACGTGAGAGTAATGTGCCTGTTACTTACAGAAACTGTATTAACTCATACGTTACCTGGATCAACTTCATATCTGTATTTTACTGTTACCCTATCCCATTGGTAAGCTGAATTCCCGTCAAAATTCAATCCGTTCAGTTTATTCCTCATATAGCATCTCGAGCCCTGGTTATCCTCAAATTTCCAGTCGACTACAGGTTTAAGAACATCATTAAACCATACTTTTAGGTGAGTGGCAGTCTTCAAGAAAGTTAGAACACCAGCTTCTTTTAAGAATCCTTCTTCTCCTGTTAATGGATATCCTTGATTGCATAAGGCAGCATTTAAAGACGCCGTTGTGAATGTGAACCACCCTACTCCTCCCATCATCCATCTGATATCTTGAGGTGTTTTTATCGGCTTGTTAGTCTCGATCTGAAACTTCCTACCCTCCACTATTTCCGCCACATAATCCCTGGCCGAAGGTGTTGGTGGTACCGTGAACCATTCACTGTACCGAGTAGTCTCGTTCACGCCATACAAATGAAGTCCATGTGCTCCATATTTCAGGGTCTTTTCGTCGGACTTGAGCTTTGCTGAAGCGATGTAATTCGTTGTTCTTTTCTTCCTCTTACCTTTCTTCTCAACTGTGAATCTCACCTCTCCTATTTCTTCTCCACTGCTATGCCGTGTTTCCTCATTGTGCAGCCAAGTGTCATTTTCTTTCTTTTACCTTTATTTACTTTCATAGTATAGGTCACATCCAGAGTTAGGGAAATGCAGATGAGCAGTAATCCAAATCTTATCATTTTTCTGAGCTATGAAAAAGTATATGATCATATTATTCTTGAAACGGACCGAACAAATTGTTGTGGAAACAGAAATCAAAAATATAGAAATATTACAAACTCCTCATTCATGATGTGTCCTATATAAGTATTAAGTATGCTTTCATCACTGTATCAATAGTAGAACATAAAGACATTGTCAACAGCTCCAAATCTTAGGCATCAAAAATTCAGGCAAAACCGCGAAATTTCGGGAGAGACGTCAGAAAAGCTTCTCTTCAAAAATCTTCCTAAATCTCTTCTTATATTCTGATTATTTTCCGTTTATCAAAGCTTTCTTCGGGAATAGAACTTTCAGTACCTCAAATGTGTCTTGTGCCATCCTCAGTGACCTTGCTAGATGGTCATTGAAGAAAAATTCAGTAAAAGAGTGAAATTTGGAAATTTGGGTCACAGAAAGCTGAAATTTGTTAATTAATGATTTAATTGTTTTCCCAAAAGCAAAAAGATCCTAAGGAATAAGTAATGGCTAAACATTGCAACGATGTTAAAAATAACAGCTCCTTTATATTGTTTGACAAAATAGTAAGTGTATTACAATATGTTACATGTGTGTTACATTAATTAAGTGTATAACCTGTCCGATTATTTTAGTTCAGTTCTAAACGACAACAAGCGAATTAAACATTGCAAACGGATCAGGAACCAAGAAGGAGTTGTTATCCAATGATGAATACCTATGATAAAATGACAGAATAACAATAGGGTTTGGCACACAATACGATAATATTAGTTTTGATCGAATTTAAACACTAAAATTGTATTACATTAATTGTTGAGTGTGATGGAATGGGAATGCAGAATGGTTTATCCTGGTTCATCCTGGTTTAGTCAGCCCTGACTACATATTATCATGAAAGGCTGCATCTCAATTGTGAACGAAAAGCACTGTAAGTTTGCATTACAAACATGACGTTACAAACATCAAATGCGCGCTGAGGTCGTCAAGAACTGCACGTGTAAAATTAATTACGTCATTTTGCGAGCCACGCACGCCACTCTACGATGCATGCTTAAGTTTGCATACAACAACAATAACAAACTACAACTGGTTACTGGTTAATGTTAGTGGCACAAGGTAGGAACAAATTAATCGTGCTTGATAAAACCGCGGAGAAATTCTTGTTACCAGTGGTAACAAGAATTATCTTAATGGTATGGAGTTTTTAACAGATATAGTCCTCATACCATACGGGAACACTCCAGTCTGACTAGGAGGAAATTTTATAGTTCTTTATATAGCGGGGATATACTGTTTTACAGATGCGTAGTGTTCAAAAAAGAAGATTAAAACTAGGAAAGAGTAGTAAAAATACACGTTCAAAATAGTGTCTTGACGTCCTGACATGCTAAACAGAGTTTCAATTATGATTAATCAGACTTACTTAACTTAAATTTAAGTACTTAAATTCATTAACACTGAGTACAGCTCAGTTGCCAGTGTGGCGTTTATCATCTACCTTAGCGAGATTTTGTCAGATGTTCATCCTTTTATTGCTTATCCCTCCTTTGGGTAAACTTTGTCGGACTCATTGTAACGACGGGTGCTCTCTTTCTTATTCATTACCTTAGTTTAATGAACTAAAGTTTTAAAGTAAATAGCAAAGCATTAATGATATCATATTTTATTGACATAATGATCTATTTTACTTATTATCTACTTCTATTTTTAAATTAGAGGGTTGCCAATTTGATTGTTAATGAAGGTATTTTTTAGTTCCATGTAAACAAGAGAGGAACATGCCGCCGAGAATAGCCAGAGGTGCCGCCTCAAAAAGAGGTGGAACTGGACGTGGACAACCCGCAACCCGAGGAGGACAACCCGAAACCCGGGGTAAACCCGCAGCTAGAGGTGGCAGAGGTGCAGCTCGGGGAGGGAAACCTGGGGCTAAACCCGCAGCTAAGGTTCGTCTTACTGTTTTTATAAGGCAAATGTTCGTTTTAAAGTTCCAGTCAGATATTGCAACCGCACCAACGTATGTCGCTACAAAGTGTTATTAAATTCAATTTTGTGATAAGAAATAATCATGTTGCCTTGTGGGCTATGGCTTGTAGCTGCGTAGTGCGTATTGTATTCATTCAAGGCAACCTGTTGGCAGATCACGTACGAGTGCCGAGTTTTTCATAAAGTTGAGGTTTAAAACAATTGCCTATTTAATCAGTTAACCTCACAAATAACCGGTTCTTAACATTTTGTTTCTCTCAGTTAGACTTATCCATGGGTATCCAACGTCGACAGAACTATTATATGCCCTTTATTTGTTGAAAAAATGAGGTTAACATATCTTCTCAAAAATCAGTCTTTTAGCATTCCTGAAACCACCTTTAAAACCTATTTTAAAACCGCGATCAAGTATAATGCAGCGATTTAAAAAAAGACTTAAGAGGGTTTATTGATTCTTGAATTCAGTTTGTTGTTGCCTAAAATTCATTATGATTTTTCGAGCTCTCAATCTAAGATAGAACATCTCACAGTCATCTATCTCAGAAGAAGCCAGAAAAACCAAAATGGACTGAAGAGCAAATTGAATCAGCTTTAAAGATCCAGAAAGCTTATCGAGATTACAAACAACGTAAAATTGAAGCCGAAGCTAGAAGGAAAAAGGAGGAAATGGATAGGCTGATAGAGGAGGTAGGATGATAGATAATATAATATTATTTTAGAACGCTATTGACTGATTCAGCTTAAGTTTGTATAATTTCTTGTTTTCTGTCAGATTATAGCTATTTGTATTGCAGGCTGAAAGACAAGCCTGGCTAAAGATAATTAAACTCGAAAAAGAGCGGGAAGATAGAGAGCATGAAAAATGGCTCATGCTAGAACGGGAAAGAAAGGTACCAGAATTCATACAGATATTTCTTACATTATTGTATTCCCGTCTTCTATAATACCGTGGGCAGAGCGTTTTACCTTGCTGTGTCACGTGTGTGTTATCTCGACATGTGACCAGCTGACATGTGACTACGTTACGTTACATCATACGGCTAGGTCATCTACCTATTTTAGGTGTCAGTACCACAATTCAACTCATGTTTAAATTCAGTATCTTAAGAGTAATGAGTATTTAGTTTTTATTTAGACTATTACTTAATTATTGCTGCTCAAATAGTCGATTACCTAGGACTAAAGCCAGTCTTATTTTCTCTCGTCCAGCTACCACTCTCACAGTTTCTACTTTTAAAAGCTCATAAAAAGCCTTAAACTGCACTGCTATAACTTGCTGATTAGTTAACTTTTCAATAGTAAATTGGTATAATCGTGCCCCCTGCTAAGCTCTATACTAGCTGGATATAATGCGATTTACGGTGATTATATTGCGGATAATTGTTTGTTTGTGATAACAGATTACAGAATTCTTAAAGATCGGCTTTTAATCTGCAACTTCGTAATGATATTGCTACTAAGCTTTACAAACAAACAAAATTTTTAACAGGCTCATTTGAAGAGAATGAAGATGATGCTTGAGAACGCATTTGATGGTGAACTTGGGGAGATTCAGCAAATTTTACAAGAGGTTTATTTCGTGATAACTATTAGTTCAATCCTTTGACACAGTGTATGATTCATTGCTAAATTTTACAAGGTGCAATTCCTTAATTCCATTTTTATGCCTATTTATACCACACCATTGACATTTTTCTATTACTAGCACTTTAACAGGCAACATCTGACTGGGTAAAGAGTGCAGGAGAGGCCGGACTACATCCGACTAAGCTCGCTCGTAAAACAATGGAACTCTTGGAATGTACAGACGCGAACGAATACTCGCCGCTATCTGAGGCGGGTGCTGGTGGCGCTTGTGAGGTATTTGTTAGATAGCTGAAGGATTCATTTAATAAACATCAAATTCTTCATTAATAGACACGTGGTTTTTTTAGATGATAGGGCTCATTATCATTCTGTTTATTTTGAGTGCTGATTGGAGTATCAATTTGTCAGTAATCGCCCTTTACATTAACCAGTTCTATATTTTTGTGAATAATCTAAAAATAATCATGATGTAATTGAGTGATCTAATACACTGATCTGGCAGGTGCAGTGATCTAAAATCCTTATTAAATTAAAATAACGTTATCTAAATCTAAACAATGAGGTAATGGACTGACAGTGATCTAATAACAGATGCTGTGATCTCACAATTTGATCAGATTAAAATGACGTTATCTTATCTCTCTAATTAATTAAATCATCCAGGTTATCGAATGGTTGGTATCTCAAGGTGCAAATCCTAACAGTATAGGAAGATACGGGCGCACACCGCTGTACCGTGCAGCATTTGCAGGTCACGTGGAAGCGGTGCAGCAGTGTTTACAGTGTGGAGCTGATCCACGGATAAAGGCAGATGATGGGTGTGCTCCTGTTGATATATCCACTAATCCCACTATTAAAGAGGTAGGGTTGTTGTCTTGGTAACTGGAACATTCTCTAATTTAACTGTGTTCATATAATTTGTTGTGAAATTAGTCTACAAATTATATTAAGCCTTAAAAGATTAAATCATTACGATATCGGCATCTGATAATTTCAGATACTGAATGAATGGGATATAGCGGACACAGAGCGACTATTCAACAACCTCCAGTTAGAACAAGAAAAACGAGGTCTGCTATTTTCAATGTTTTCTTCAAAAATGCTCTCATTACCCCTCATCCTACCAACAAACAGTTTGGAATCGAATAAAATTAACACTATCATAATATTTTAATAGTTTAGAAATTAGTTAAGTAGATTTCTATCTCTAAAACCAGGAACTTTCAGCAAACGCCCAAGCAGAGTATGTCCAAATGAAATGTGACGCGATAATAGATAAGATAAAGGAAGCCGAGGAAGATTTCAAACAAGTTGAGAAACAACTGATGCACGCCTTCGCGGAGCTTAATAAGAGGATATACGAACACGATATGTGTGTGATTGAGAAGACGAGTCATGTTGAGGTAATCTTAACTTTCAATATACCTGGGTTAATCAAAATTCTGTGCTTATCGTTTGTGGGTAATATCTCAAGGAACACCTGTGCCAAGTCTCAGGTCCGGGGTGTGGCCAATCGTTTCCAAAAGTTGAGGTTTGCCTTTTTGGATTAAGTTTAAGTTTTACCTGACCTCAAGGTCAGAGTTTTATGCGTTTTTTTCCTACTTTTTCATTTCCAGCTGCTCTGTTAAAACTAACAAATGATTTTTAACCCTACCCCCTCTGGCCTTAACTGAGTATCAAGAACATTTTTCGATTTAAGTTTAGGTTTTATCTGTAATGATAAAAAAATGCTAATGATAAAAACCAAGGTATTGGAAATAAAAGGCGTGAGAACCATGCGATCAGTTGAGGCGATGTTTTCGCTCAATTTGTAACGTATAGGTAACGTGCCCCCATTTCTTGCCCCCACGTTGTAACGTCTGCCCCCATCATGATCTGACCGTGCCAATCTAATTAAGTTTCCTTGGTGAAACGATTTCTTGCTCGGTCGGATATACGTAATCGAATTATGCATACCAAAGACTGTAGTCCACAGGTCCCCAGGTTAGTGCACTGTGCAAACAACAATACGAACCGTGAAATAAACCATCTAGAAACCATTTATTCTGTTATAATGTAAATCTGTTAGTGGAATAGTAGCAAGGACGATCTAAACCGCAAAACAAACCATCGAGAAACCATATTGGGGTTTTTTTTGATCGAATGTAACGTAATTAATATCTCTGCCCCCGTTTACTAAGATGTAATATAAGGTGGTTATCAGTGGTTTTATCAGTACAAGTATTCTGTAATACTGTTAGTAGTTACTGGAGTAGTGTGAACAACAATATAAATTATGAAATAAACCGCTTGGAAACCATTTTAGGGTTTTTTTGATCGAATGTAACTACTCCAGTAACTACTAACAGTATTACAGAATACTTGTACTGATAGAACCACTGATAACCACCTTATATTAGTATATTACATCTTAGTAAATGGGGGCAGAGATATTAATTACGTTACATTCGATCAAAAAAACCCTAAAATGGTTTCCAAACGGTTTATTTCATAATTTATATTGTTGTTCACACTACTCCAGTAACTACTAACAGTATTACAGAATACTTGTACTGATAGAACCACTGATAACCACCTTATATTAGTATATTACATCTTAGTAAATGGGGGCAGAGATATTAATTACGTTACATTCGATCAAAAAAACCCTAAAATGGTTTCCAAACGGTTTATTTGATAATTTATATTGTTGTTCACACTACTCCAGTAACTACTAACAGTATTACAGAATACTTGTACTGATAAAACCACTGAAAACCACCTTATATTACATCTAAGTAAATGGGGGCAGAGATATTAATTACGTTACATTCGATCAAAAAAACTCTAAAATGGTTTCCAAACGGTTTATTTCATAATTTATATTGTTGTTCACACTACTCCAGTAACTACTAACAGTATTACAGAATACTTGTACTGATAAAACCACTGATAACCACCTTAAGTTACATCTTAGTAAATGGGGGCAGAGATATTAATTACGTTACATTCGATCAAAAAAACCCTAAAATGGTTTCCAAACGGTTTATTTCATAATTTATATTGTTGTTCACACTACTCCAGTAACTACTAACAGTATTACAGAATACTTGTACTGATAGAACCACTGATAACCACCTTATATTAGTATATTACATCTTAGTAAATGGGGGCAGAGATATTAATTACGTTACATTCGATCAAAAAAACTCTAAAATGGTTGCCAAGTGATATATTTGATAGCTTATATTGTTGTTCACACTACCAGTAACTACTAACAGTAATATTACAGAATACTTGCACTGATAAAAGCGCTGAAAACCACCCCAATTTTCATCTGTGTTAATTTAATTGTTGTATTAATATCTCTTCTTTATTGTCCTCCTGTTTGATAGCATGTTCTAAGGAGTGGTGACAGTCTTTGAAGTTTGAGGAGTGTACACATTACAAATTTATCTTGTACCAGTTAATAACTGTGTAGTGTGTTGATATGTAGTAGATTGAATATAAGAGATAGACTATAGTAGATTAGTACTTTTAAATAGATTAAAACTACCGAAGAAGTGATATTCTGTAGATTGAAGCAAGATCTTTTCTTGGGTTTTTAAGAGGATTTCAGATTTGTGCAGGGTATTTTAAACATGATTCCACGTTTTGGAAAATATATGTAGTAACTAAAATGCACGCCCACACACCACACCCACTTCAGCCACGGGGTCAATATATTATATATTGATAATAATATCAGATGCGATCAATTTCACGATCAAAATCAACTATTCACGAACACCTGTTCGGCGAACAACTGTTCGCGAACAGGGGTCGTGCTATCTGGATACTGCCTCAATTTCGACTCAATCCAACACATAGATTTTGCTCCAAATATTGTATATTTCTGTTTTGGTACCGTATGGCGTATGAGATATCATCACTTCGAGATGGCCAGGCCTACTCTCATGCTGTCTATATGTGATGATTAACTCTGAAAAACTAGGGACAACTGGGGAATGATCCCAGAACCTCGAGATTTCGCGTCTCTTGCTCTACCAATTGAGCTACTGACCCTGATTCTCAGAGCGAAATCACCACTCATATACAGCACAATTTCATGCTTTGTGTGGAATATCATTTTATCAGTTATTTAGAATATATATTCGCATTTTATCCACACTATATTTACATTACACGTACAACGTGATATCGTTATCAGTGCAGTGTGTACAACACCAACTACACCGATCAATTGCCAATGAGATATCATGTTGATATATCTATAATATTAAAACCGTCTTATTCAGTGTTATAATAGTGATATCTTATTCCACGAGGGCAGAAATAATAAATACGTTACGGTGAAATAAACCATAAAATAATCTTCAGAACTACTCCATTAACAACTAACAGTACTTCAGAACAAATACACTAACTAAACCACCTTATATTGAATTATGTACATAAAATTACCGCGATTTCCTTTGTCAAAATTTGGAGAATTGGATGGCGGATGCATTATACTTCAATGCTCCGAACACATTCAGGTATCATGTAAACAGTAAAGATATAATCATCTGTGAATTAATTAAATTAGGGCGTGAAGCTGTGGTAAGATATTTGACTAGTGCGTGAACTATTCTAAGATATAATCGAAATGTTATAGGGAACGCGCATGCGCAACCTATATATGAAGTCAGATTCAGGATGGGGGCAACGTTACAACTCAGCGAAAACTGGATCAGTTTCAGACACACTCTGTAAGACTTGTTTGCGTAACGCGCATAGTGCGACATGCGTGCTATTGCTTTTTCAGAAGCTAGTGAACGAAACTGTATTTCGTTGCGCGCAGCGTTTGCCATTTCGCTGTCAATATTTTTGAGCACCAGCCAGTGCAGGCGACAGTGCAGTAAAAATTTCTATGGTCAGTGGTAACTGGTAACAAACTTATGATCCCTTTCAATTGTATAGGTCACCCTACAAACAGTTCATGACGCCGAAGACTTGGTCACTGTTCTCAAAGTTAAAGTCGACGATTCTAGAAGAGCTCTCCAAATGCTAAGACTACAGCTTAGAGAAGAAAAGAAAGAGGTAAGATAACAATCTTATCATTGCATTCTCGAAGTCTAAGAATATTATCATTCGCAACTTCAATGTTACCACTGATATATCTCCTGAATGATTGGCAAGTAACCTGGTCAGATTGAGCGTGCAGCTTGCATCTACGGCTCTTCTCTTTGGATGTAATCGGCGATATTGCTTGCCAATGCAGATTTCGTCTCTCATAGTTTCCTGACCGAGCAGTTGATGTAATCTGTCTCGTAGCCACTTCTGAGATTCTTGGAGACTTTCCAGCTCAATAAACTTGTGCTTCTGGCGTCTACCCAGGTCACCTTTAAGTGAAAGAATTTGTTGCTATGGTAACCGCTGTAATGCGATCCTTGTTATTTTGATACGACATACCTCTGAACAATTCCCCATTCTTGCCGATTTATATCTGTTTTCTTCTATCAATTTGCGTCTGTCACTTCTCCATTTTTAATAATTTCGCTACTGAAGCAATTATGTCAAGTGGTGCTGGTAAAAAGCCTGTAAAAGCTAAAGGCACTGGCAAGGTTGTGAAGAAATCTACCACCCTTCCGAAAGCAAGTGTAACTAAAAAATCAGATTCCATCAAAAAGAAACCGACGCCAAAAAAGGGGGCTGCTTCCAGTGCTACACCGGCAGTGGAAAAAAGTGCAGAACCTGTGGTACTAATTCTTACTTGAAAAGAGTGTTTTTTGTCCTCTTTCCTAGGCGTGGTGTTTTAAAACAACAAGAGTTGTCTTTGTAAATTTTATTCCGTGTCCAACTGTCCAAGCAGCTAATTTTGTCCGAAAATGACAGATATTGAATGGAAGATGTGTTTTTTTCAGAAAGCAGAAACTGAACAAGTTGGAGTGCAAATAGTGGTTAGGGAGCTAGAGGACGTACTGATCAGGGATGTGGGCAACAAGATCACTGATGATGGCAGGTTTGTGACAGTGAGATTAATTACGACAGGGAGCTAGTTTCTTTGTAGCCGTGTGAATCGTTCAGCTCATGACAAGCGTAATTCAGCATTCTAACAAAAATTTGTGAAAGCTTTGAAAATATCTGCAGATAAGAACTTGCTTTGGGGGTTTAAAACCATGACTTTCAGGTGGCCTTTGATTATAGACGAGACCGGCCAGGCATCGATATTTATCCGGTATAGTGATTCGAACTATTTGAACGCAGTCAATCCTTCGAATATGGATCCTGAGCGTATGAGGTGAATATTACTACTACACTTTCTACTCGAAGTTGATTCATCTTGTTCAATGATACAATAACAGTTAGGGAAAGAGTAATAAACCCTGGTTTGTGGTTTCTGGGACTATGGACAACACATTACTGTAGAGAAACTTTGTTACGAATTTATTCACAGATGGTCCCATGAATTTCTATTCTCGCCCTAACTAATAAGTAAGATTTTGTTCTTTCGAAGTTGAGATCACAATACACTTCAGAATAGCACTGCTGGGTGCAGTACGGTACGGTAAACCCCTTGTTATTGACCTGATGGGATGCGACATGTTTCACGTTGTTCAGGTACGTTACATTATTTTTCACTTATTCATATTTATTTTTATTTTTCACTAATAAAATGGTTATACCAGCAATACATAATGATTTATGGACTAATATAATATATATTTTAAACTTGACGAAATTTCCCCGGCAACGGGGACATAGAAGAAAAAACACCGAAAATCGACCTCAAAATGACCCTCTGGTGAAGCCAAACCCAGCTCGCAAATGGAGTTGAAACCTCGCCATTTTTAGCAGGGTTGTAGAAAAAGGATAGGAATAGGCTATAGCATTCTTAGAATTTTGATTTAGGCTTTAGATTTTTTATAATTAACGTCGGAAGTGAGGTTAAATAATCGTTAGAATAATGGCGTTAAATTTTAGCAAAGGTTTACTGCGCTGTTGCGTAGCAACGATAAAAATGCACGTGCGCGAGCAACCACAGATTAACAACGCGCGTTGTTATGCTGTATGCTACGTCATAATTTCAAAACTAGCTCACATTTACGCTCACGCTATGACTTCTTATAACTTTGTTTGTGATTGCAATATTTTGATGCAGTAAAAAGTATAGTATCGATACTTTTTTTTTCGATACTAAATTCGCTAGAGCTACACACAATGCTGACATTACGCCGCGCACACACAATCAACAAAAATATTGTTGTTTTCTAATTACGCAAATAACTTTGCGCAGTTAAACATTTTAATTGCCTGGCAATAATTCAATTGACTGTCATTCTCGATTGAAATATCAGAATTTCACAACTAGCTCACATTTACCCTCATGACGCTATGCCTATATACCTATATATATTTATAACTTTGGTTGTGATTGAAATTTTTTGATGCGGTAAAAAGTATCGTTTTGGGGCTATATGATGAAGAGAAATTAAAACATAACTGATGCTTAAAATTTCCTCGAACAAAGCTTTCGACTAGCGGCGGGTTTCTAGTATAATATAATGGACTGATATAATATTATACAAAAGTTTAGTTGGTTTCCAATGGTTGAAGAATGATGGCTACCCTCCTTTTCAGGATAGATTTAATGAAATAAAAGAAGGTCTGCTAGACTGGGTCCTGGATAAGACACTTATTACAGAGGAGAAGTTCAACCAGATCACTAAAAAGGTAGGATCTCGTGTCAAGGATATGACTCTGGTCTCTAGGCAGTAGGCTTCCCACTTGTCCTAGTTTCACTTAATGAATTACCAGTGACGTAATATAAGCTAAAACTTACCTACTTTATTTTGGGCGATCCTCGATCGAAATAAAATCCCAAACAATGTTCACATTGTTCTATCGAACTCAATCAATTCAACGTCAAATATATCCAGGAGGACGGTCCAGAGTATGAAGAGAAAATGTTTTGGGCCCGAATGGGAGACTTCAAGTTCTGGCTCCTGACCAACAGTGAGCCTGAGCCTGAACTTCTGGACAAGTTCTACGTGATCAGAGTCAAACCTTCTCCCCCCAAAGAGTGAACTGACTGGTATTGTCAAGTTCATGTTGAACAATTAAATATTATGATTATGGACAGGAACATTATCAGGCAAGTTTCCATAACTAATTTTTTGTGATCAGCGGTAATAACCGCTTTTTTTACGCTAAAAAAGCGCTTATTGATAAAACCCACCGTTATTTGGCGATTATAAAGCGATTATAAACGGTCCCGTTAATTAACGATTAAAAACGATTATAATCGCTTTTTCCATAAATTTTTTTTGCAAAAGCGATTATTAGCGCTTTAAAAGCGATAATAAATCGCGAATTAAAATTATTAGTGATAAAAAAACGCTTTTATTTTAGGGTTGTCGATTATTATCGCTCCGTAAGCGCTTTTCAAAAAAACGCTTATAAACCGTTTTTTGGACCGTTTTTAAAACGCTTTTAATCGACTATAAGCGATTATATTCACTAGGGAAAGTTCCAAATTAAAAAGCGCCTACTAATCGTTAAAAAAACGCTTTTTTATTTTAAGTTAATAAGCGGTTTAAATCGATTATAAAACGATTATAAGCGACAATAAGCGATTTTTTGAAATCTGCTAAAAAGCGATATTTTCACTATGATCAGCGCTTATAACCGCTTTTCTTGAAATTTTCCTACTGAAAAGCGTTTATAAGCGCTTATTTATTTGCTGTCCATAAGCGATTATAAACGATTATAAGCGCTTTTTTACGTATTTGAAACGAGGAAAAAATTGTCAGGTACGAGATATTATAAGCGATTATAAGTGATTATAAAGTATCGTAAATGTTATTGTCTTCAATTGTCGCTTAGAAGCGATTATAAACGATGAAAAGCGCTTTTTGACGCATTTTAAAACTATGATCAAAATATGTTTTGATTTGATTTATTTGGGGTATATAAGCGATTATGTAAGCGGGGTATATAAGCGATTATAAACGATTATAAGCGCTTAATTCTTTACGTATTTGGAACAAGGACACAATTAACAACAAAAATTACGCGATAGCCGGAGGTCCCCAGGTACCGTCTCCGTCTCCGTCTCCGTCTCCGTCTCCGTCTCCCTCTCCCTCTCCCTCTCCCTCTCCCTCTCCCTCTCCCTCTCCCTCTCCCTCTCCCTCTCCCTCTCCCTCTCCCTCTCCCTCTCCCTCTCCCTCTCCCTCTCCCTCTCCCTCTCCCTCTCCCTCTCCCTCTCCCTCTCCCTCTCCCTCTCCCTCTCCCTCTCCCTCTCCCTCTCCCTCTCCCTCTCCCTCTCCCTCTCCCTCTCCCTCTCCCTCTCCCTCTCCCTCTCCCTCTCCCTCTCCCTCTCCCTCTCCCTCTCCCTCTCCCTCTCCCTCTCCCTCTCCCTCTCCCTCTCCCTCTCCCTCTCCCTCTCCCTCTCCCTCTCCCTCTCCCTCTCCCTCTCCCTCTCCCTCTCCCTCTCCCTCTCCCTCTCCTTCTCCCTCTCCTTCTCCTTCTCCTTCTCCTTCTCCTTCTCCTTCTCCTTCTCCTTCTCCTTCTCCTTCTCCTTCTCCTTCTCCTTCTCCTTCTCCTTCTCCTTCTCCTTCTCCTTATTACCAACATCTTATCATCGTTGTACAATTTTTGTGGTTGCAAACTTTTAGTTCTCTGGCAACAAGGATTAAGATAGATCGCTAAATATTATGTCAATGTGTACAGTGTAACCATATATTTTCATATAACATATAGTGAAACAAATGTAATTAACTCAAGATTAAGAAGCGGTTGTAATTTATCAAAACGCAAATTATTAAAAATCAAAACGCAAATTATCGTCATGACGGCAAAAGATATTTCTTTTATTTCCAATTTGCTGCGAAAATATTGGCAGATGTGCAAAAAATCCCAAGCTTCCCTAGAATTCATGTTTTACTAGCCTGTCACGTGACCAAAACGGTTTTTTTGCTTATAACTCTCCAGGGAAGCATTTTTACCCTACGTCATGGGGGGTGATTCGGAATTAGCGTCCAAAAATACATCGATTCAGATCAATTTCATACCCAAAGGGCCTTTTCACAAGAATTTTCTTAAAATTTGGGCGAGCGATTTAGTATGAGCGCGCCGAGCTATGTCATTTATAATACCTTATAATCGCTTATAGTCCAGTCATTTATGGAAATGAACCTGCAAATTTTCAGATACTCACGAAACTTTGCACAGACCTTCCCAAAGGTATGAATAAACGATTTTCGGTTGGAGACATTTTTTTACCATGGGGAAAACCCAGGAGGGCCACGCACATATTGACCCAATAACGTAACCGACCCTTTGCTTCTGAAGGTCGTAGAGACTTCAAAATAGGCTTAAACGAAGCCGCATATGCATGTTTATATAGAAGTTATTGATCAACACATGGCCTAAAATCCTTAATTTTCGAGAAATTCGCCAAAAACCATTTTGGGCGAGGCACTGAGCCAATTTTCTAACTTTTGATATAATCGTGATAGAGTCTTCGGACAAAGTGCAAAAGAACCGCAATTGGCATATTTATATATGATTTATGAAGAAACATGTGCCTTAAAGTGCTTACTTTTTCAGTTATTGGCGAAAAACTGATTTTCGGTTCCAGAAATCATGCAAAAATATGGGTATCTGGTAAATTGGGCTATGAAGGCCCTAGAGATTTTTGAATGAGTGCAAATTGTGCAGAATGGCCATGTTTATATACAACTTATGAAGCAATATGTACCCTAAAATGCTCACTTTTCGAGTTATTTGGGGGAAAACCAGAGACAATTTTCACGAAATAGAGCAAAATTGGTTATATCAGCCATTTTTGCCTCCTAGTACAGGGAAATCCGTCTGAAAAAATCGATCTGCTGACACACGAAGCTTACAAAGGATTTTTGACGTTTTTGAGTCCTAATAGATGTCCTTTATGGCTGACCAACTTTTCCAAACTTTTCCACGTGGCTTAAGGCCACTTTTTGCCACTTTACCACTTTTTACCACCTTTCTTGTTTGTCGAATATCTTTAGTTGTGAACATCGTAAAAGGTTGCGAATCAATCGAGTGTGTTCATATTATCAGGAAGAAAAACTTTTGTTCCAACAATTTTTACGTCAGATAATAAGTTAATTGGATAATTATCAATTAACCAATTAGCAAAATTCTAAAAATTTTTTATTTGCTAAAAATGGTCGGAATAGCCTAAAACACGGAGAAAAGTAGTTTTTAGAAAAAATTTGAAAATTTTTCACTTACATTTTTTTTTCGAGACTTCGAAAAATTTCGAAAATTCAAAATATTTTTTTCCGCCAAAAGTGATCAAATTGCATAAAACGCGGAGAAAAATGATTTTCAAAAAAAACTTAGTCAATTTTTCGTTTCAAGAATACTTAAATCACCAATATTTGTAGTCGGAGTTTAGTAAATCTCGGCAGATTTTAGTAATAATCAGGAATTACTAACTCTAAGTGGAAAGGTCTGAAACTTAAAAACGTTAAGTTTAACCATACGATCGTGATATAAGAGTTTCATAACTAATTACAATACAGCCTTATCGATTTTCACAGAAACTGCACCAATGGCACAGTCAAGATCGAAACGATAGCCTGCTGTACTGTCATTTTATTGATTTCAATGATGAATCAGTGGGGTTAAGATTTGTAATAAATAAAACCTCTCTGTACCGTCAATTGTGCTAATCTAAACCGGCCTACCTGTATTACCAGACCTCTTCTTTTCCTCAACAATCAAACCGAGTTGTTCATATCGCATTTGGTGGGTGATGTAAACTAAGTAGTAATACATATCGAGCTATATTCAATCACAATACGACACAATGCAACACGTGTATATTATATTATGGCCCTTAATGAGGTATATGAAATGTTCTATACCGTACACTTATCGTTTCTCCCGTGAGAGGCCCGATATGGAGAGGTTTTACAGTTTATCACGAAAATGTCTACTTGGTCTCATGGCTCTTTGACAGCTCAAAGAAGGCAAGAAAAGACCAAAAAGCTTAGAATGTCAACTCGCAAGAGCGGGCTACCGGACAACTGAACCCAATTTAGACATTTAGATTAACCCTAACTCTAACCCTAACCCTAACCTTAACCCTAACCCTAACCAATTAAGCTGATTGGTTAGTGGGAACTAGGTTCAATTGGGTTCAGTTGTCAGTCTTCGATCTGTCCCACATTAATCCCGAGCTGATCATCATGGGCCCCGAATATCCTGCGGGAAGAACCTGTATTTTTACTTCACGACGTCCGGATTTCAAATCAACATCCTCAATAACATTAACAATCCTTCCTGATCAGGATCTGTCTCTATTAGCAATTTCCAAAATATCCTGACTCTCGTGGAACATTTCACTGAATTAATTATTACCGGTTCTTTATTACCCCTTGCCCGACACTGTACTCGTATCTAAATCTTACCCTTTCCCGTATGTTACCCTTGTTGATTTTACTTTTAGCCGATCCTGACATATGGGGGTGATTTGAGGTATCCCGCAAATGAAGCGGTATGCAGTACAATACAAAACAGTTACAGTAGATGTTGGAAGGTGTATTTACACTTGCTTCCTGGACCTGGCTGTTCCTCAGTTTCCCTGATCTGTTCTTGCCCTTCTTCGAACTGTAAATGGGCCATGAGACCAAGTAGACGTTTTCGTGATAAACTGTAAAACCTCTCTATACCGGGTTTCTCACGGTATAAAGCGTTTCATAAACCTCATTAAGAGCCATATAATATACACGTACTGTGTCGTATTGTGATTGAATATAGCTCGATATGTATTACTACTTAGTTTACATCACCCACCAAATGCGATATGAACAACTCGGTTTGATTGTTGAGGAAAAGAAGAGGTCTGGTAATACAGGTAGGCCGGTTTAGATTAGCACAATTGACGGTACAGAGAGGTTTTATTTATTACAAATCTTAACCCCACTGATTCATCATTGAAATCAATAAAATGACAGTACAGCAGGCTATCGTTTCGATCTTGACTGTGCCATTGGTGCAGTTTCTGTGAAAATCGATAAGGCTGTATTGTAATTAGTTGTGAAACTCTTATATCGCGATCGTATGGTTAAACTTAACGTTTTTCAGTTTCAGACCTTTCCACTTAGAGTTAGTAATTCCTGATTATTACTAAAATCTGCCGAGATTTACTAAACTACAAATATTGGTGATTTAAGTATTCTTGAAACGAAAAATTGACTAAGTTTTTTTTGAAAATCATTTTTCTCCGCGTTTCATGCAATTTGATCACTTTTGGCGGAAAAAAATATTTTGAATTTTCGAAATTTTTCTAAGTCTCGAAAAAAAAATGTAAGTGAAAAATTTTCAAATTTTTTCTAAAAACTACTTTTCTCCGTGTTTTAGGCTATTCCGACCATTTTTAGCCAATAAAAAATTTTTAGAATTTTGCTAATTGGTTAATTGATAATTATCCAATTAACTTATTATCTGACGTAAAAATTGTTAGAACAAAAGTTTTTCTTCCTGATAATATGAACACACTCGATTGATTCGCAACCTTTTACGATGTTCACAACTAAAGATATTCGACAAACAAGAAAGGTGGTAAAAAGTGGTAAAGTGGCAAAAAGTGGCCTTAAGCCACGTGGAAAAGTTTGGAAAAGTTGGTCAGCCATAAAGGACATCTATTAGGACTCAAAAACGTCAAAAATCCTTTGTAAGCTTCGTGTGTCAGCAGATCGATTTTTTCAGACGGATTTCCCTGTACTATCCCGTTCTATGTTAATAACTCGAAAAGTGAGCATTTTAGGGTACATATTGCTTCATAAGTTGTATATAAACATGGCCATTTTGCACAATTTGCACCCATTCAAAAATCTCTAGGGCCTTCATAGCCCAATTTACCAGATACCCATATTTTTGCATGATTTCTGGAACCGAAAATCAGTTTCCGCCAATAACTGAAAAAGTAAGCACTTTAAGGCATATGTTTCTTCATAAGTCATATATAAATATGCCAATTGCGGTTCTTTTGCACTCCATCCGAAGACTCTATCACGATCATATCAAAAGTTAGTAAAATGGGCTCAGCGCCACGCCCAAAATGGTTTTTGGCGAATTTCTCGAAAATTAAGGATTTTAGGCCATGTTTTGATCAATAACTTCTATATAAACATGCATATGCGGCTTCGTTTAAGCCTATTTTGAAGTCTCTACGACTTTCAGAAGAAAAGGGTCAGTTACATTATTGGATCAATATGGGCGTGGCCCTCCTGGGTTTTCCCCATGGTAAAAAAATGTCTCCAACCGAAAATCGTTTATTCATACCTTTTGGAAGGTCTGTGCAAAGTTTCGTGAGTATCTGAAAATTTGCAGGTTCATTTCCATAAATGTCCATTAATAACTGGACTATTATTATAATATCGCGTAATTTTGTTGTTAATTGTGTCCTCGTTCCAAATACGTAAAGAATTAAGCGCTTATAATCATTTATAATCGCTTATATACCCCGCTTACATAATCGCTTATATACCCCAAATAAATCAAATCAAAACATATTTTGATCATAGTTTTAAAATGCGTCAAAAAGCGCTTTTCATCGTTTATAATCGCTTCTAAGCGACAATTGAAGACAATAACATTTACGATACTTTATAATCACTTATAATCGCTTATAATATCTCGTACCTGACAATTTTTTCCTCGTTTCAAATACGTAAAAAAGCGCTTATAATCGTTTATAATCGCTTATGGACAGCAAATAAATAAGCGCTTATAAACGCTTTTCAGTAGGAAAATTTCAAGAAAAGCGGTTATAAGCGCTGATCATAGTGAAAATATCGCTTTTTAGCAGATTTCAAAAAATCGCTTATTGTCGCTTATAATCGTTTTATAATCGATTTAAACCGCTTATTAACTTAAAATAAAAAAGCGTTTTTTTAACGATTAGTAGGCGCTTTTTAATTTGGAACTTTCCCTAGTGAATATAATCGCTTATAGTCGATTAAAAGCGTTTTAAAAACGGTCCAAAAAACGGTTTATAAGCGTTTTTTTGAAAAGCGCTTACGGAGCGATAATAATCGACAACCCTAAAATAAAAGCGTTTTTTTATCACTAATAATTTTAATTCGCGATTTATTATCGCTTTTAAAGCGCTAATAATCGCTTTTGCAAAAAAAATTTATGGAAAAAGCGATTATAATCGTTTTTAATCGTTAATTAACGGGACCGTTTATAATCGCTTTATAATCGCCAAATAACGGTGGGTTTTATCAATAAGCGCTTTTTTAGCGTAAAAAAAGCGGTTATTACCGCTGATCACAAAAAATTAGTTATGGAAACTTGCCCATTATCAGTGTTAAAGATATGAGAGGACTGAAGCTGATCAGTTAGTTGGCAATATACTTTCTCATTAGGATTGTTGATAAATGGTCAGTTGCATTTTTACATTTTAGAGTTAAAATTTATTTCTGTTTAAGTTCTTTGAGGTTGCATAAATACAATCTTTCACCTTTGTATAGTTGTATGGACAAATTTATTGAATCTGTGTATAGTAAACAAATGAAATGTACAGAATTTCATTTTCAGATTTTTAATAAATTCAGCTGTATTTCGTCGAGAAACATACATAACACACATCAAATATCAGTATCACCACAATATAGTTCATACAAGATATTTTTTAAACTATGGGGGGCATCAACCTCATAAATACCTATTATTCCCTCCGATTTCAAAATAGGTATAGGTATTTATGTATATATAATATTTATGGTTATTTAAAGGTTTTGTTGTTTTTTCAGTATTTTTCCCACTTTTAACATATAATATATTCAATTCTATAATAATATATTCAATTCTATTCATAGTGTTAGCTGTTTTAAAGTGTTTTGACTGCATGAGGGGGTTGATATCAAGTTTTAAAACCAATTTTTTGGGGTTGGTAAAAATTTGATTTTTTGCCTTTGTGTACCTTAAACATGGGTTATATAGGGTTTTTAATTTGATCAAATCATTGTTGCTCACAATCTTCTGAAACGTCCGAAAAAGTAACTTTTAGCTGCCCTAGACGATCTTTGGTAAAATATCTATAAATACCTATTATTCCCTCCGATTTCAAAATAGGCATAGGTATTTATGCATATTTATGAGGTTGATGCCCTCCCAACTATAATTTAAAATAAATTAGATAAAACAGCTAAAGGAAACACAAAAAATAACAAAAGATTATCAAAAAAAGGAGCAGTTCCATTACTTATGAACTCTAAAAACAGCTGGGCTAAGACGTTCCCAGCATATTGACAGCATTCCTTTGAGCTTTCGGAGTAAATCTTGCCCTTCCCACCAACTTTTCTGTTGTGCGGAAAGTATTTGTTACAATTCGTTGTAACGGAATCAAAATATGTACTAATATCAATATGCAATAACATTGATGCGTTACTGTACACTGTAAAACTTCTAACTTATCGTTTACAATTTACACAATATTGTCTTTGTTCAATAAAACGTATTTTTTAAACGCAGCAGGATATTCATAATAAAAAGATTCATTCGGTAAGAAATGGTAGAAAATAATCATAAATTTGTAAGCATACAGCAAGACTCGTTGACTCTATCTTTGTCGACATTCCGTACCCTTACTATGAAACTGTATCATGAGAATTCAAGTCAGCTTCAATAACATACTTAAAATATTACAGTTAGCAACAGAACAGCAAGAAATTAGGTTAAATTAACTATAATGATCAGCAAGTTACTAAGAAAATTGAAAATCGTCTAAGTTCAAGTACATTGAGCAAAAATTTTCATGCGAGATCATTCATGACAAATTGACCAAGCAAGAGCAATGGGCATCATGACTGTGCCCGCAGCTAGAGTTTCATATCAGATAAGAAGTATAGAGCATGTCGGAGGGAGATAAGAAAGTTATCTGTCTCTTATACTTGCTGTTCTGAGGGAGCTAACTCCGGTGGAGCTGGTTTCCTTCCTCGTTCCACTTTTACCACTCATCACTGAAGTCCGTCTTACTATAATACGCTTGCGATACAGTAGAAATAACCACAGACTTACAACGAGTAGCATCAGTATTAACTGAGGGGAAGAGAGGTGAGATTCTAACAGATAACCATGCAATCGACTATTTCAGTTAAAACAGATTTTTAGCAGCGATATAAAAAAGCATTTTGGAAAGGGACATTGAAACATTCAAAATCAAAATAGCACTTCAGCCAATCCATCGATCATAATCTCTGAATAAACTATTTGATTATTTGTCATTTATAAACCGTGAAGTATTACCAGCCAGTTTATACCAGGAATTTAAAACCAAAGTGTGACTCAACTCTCCCGCAAAATTTCAAACCATGCCTATCAAACTTTCATTCTCCTTCACCACAAATTTTACTTCACATACACTTAAGTCAAACTCTGTTCTACCGGGTCCTTTTCAAGTAAAAGAAAAGAAATTCTCAACAAATTATGGAACACGGTAAAACGAATTTGACTCTTTACTTGTTACTGCTAATTCAACACGTTCAAAACCACGAAGATACACACGGGCTTTCTGCTCTGGTTCAGGCAAAAATCTCAGCCGAAGTTTCAGTGCTCCAATAACAAGCATTACTATCAGGACTATGACGATCTGAAAGTTTGTTAGAAAGATTTACCATGTGTTTGGGTGCCCATCATATTTTACAGGTGGGAGCAATATTTTGGTTAATAGTGGGATGATTAAGCGATTTAACAGTAAAATCTAAGTGACCAACCTCTACTAGTAAGTATCTGACCCACAATCTGTCTGATGTTGTGATCTCTGCTGGTATGATGATCTGAACAAATGAGATGTTACAATTTGAGTTACTGAATTCTCACTACGTACACAGTCAGTTTCAGTATCCTATTGAGTCTTTTAAGCTGCCGACCAATATCCCAAATTTGGTAACTTATATCTGGTAGCTAGTAAGGTGACATGTCTTCCATTAGCAGACTGTTTAAAATACTGGCTTCAGAGCGGCTATATGCCATGTGTCAGATAAAACTACTACTACCACCCCTCCCTAGTAATGATAACATTTCTCTGTATCTGACTGGTATATACGTACAGCCTACTCACGTCTCAGTGAGTTTTACTCAGTAGCTTACCTCCGGGTAAATCTCGTCTGACTGACAGTCCTCTGCCCCGAAGGTATGTTTGACTCCGACACTGACTCTGTCATTTTGTAATGGTATGCAGGCATAGTCCTTTCTCTCCGAGACGCTGTAGTAGGTGGTGGACTCTCCTGACTCAAACCTAACCAGCCCAGATCCTGGGTGGAAACATGGGGGTTTATTATCAAATAAACAAATATACTGATAAACAATCAAGCAATTGAGTTGTATTTTATGTCACTTTCAAATTATTTCATCTCCATTCACTATTTCCGAATTAAGGAATTTTTTCCATGTTTACCATCACACATCATTCTCCCACTATTGTAACACATACATGATATTATCAAACATTTTCTATTTGAATTTTAAAGTACATACTGCGTAGAAAAAGTATCTCAAATCATACTACATTAACATCCCAATTCATAGCATCTACATTATATTTCAATTCATAGCAAATGCCAAATCAAGTTAGCAGTTGCATGATTGCATAATTGCATAATTGCATAATATCCCAGCATAAAAACATGAATTAGGAAGCAGCAACCGACAGTTACCTTTGGAGAACACGTTTTGTTCATCTGAACAGTTCAAACGGTTGATAAATTGTCAATCCTTCATTTTCACTCAAAACAAAAGCTGCATTTTTAGAAAACCAAATAAACTCGATAAGTTTGATAGTTTTTACTTTCTACTAGCCTTACAAACTTCCTACCACAAAAACGATTTCTACAAGACAATTCCTATTCCTATGCGTAGGTAAAATTTGTCTGTAAACGGTCAAATGTAAACTCAGATCTAGTTATTATAACGTACCACAAGGAGGGACGGGACATTCCGATTTAGCTCCATCAGTTGTCAGGCACCAGGGTCTGGTCATGTTGCTCCCCTCCCAGTTCCTACACGCACTGCTTCCCAGGATCTAGAGGGGAAAACAGTCAGACAATGTGTGGGTTTTGTTAATGTGACCATCAAGAACAGTGCGAGACAACTGCACCGATAATTGTACGAAATTTCATATTTCATAAAGTTTTGTTTGATCAATCCACCGTTAATCCCACCAATATCTAAATACCAGATCGATCGTTTTTATGAAAGTCACATTTAAACACAGTAAGCATGAATATGCGATAAATATATAGTGAATATATAGATATGAATAATACGAATATGTATGAATATTGAATATGCCACCATGAATATGTAAGCACCTGTTCAGGGAACTGAGAGATGAGGTGCTGCTCGAGAATCTCCTCCCTCCAAGGAGCGCACTTCTCGCTGTACCCCAACCCTCTGAAAGAGTGACCCTCGTCTTGGTAACATGTCTCGCTCACCTTGTTCTCTGGGATATAGCTGGTGTCATTAACAGATACTCAAACTGCCTCGGACCAATTTAAGTGGTTGGAAATTCGAACAACATAAAGCGTTACCTGGGAACCCCAGGCTATTAATATTATGTTCATAATAAATAGAGATTCGGCGGAATGACAGGCTGAGCGCCGCCCAGTAAAATAAACTTAAAGGGATGAACACAGAAAACATTTTAATAAATATGATGATTAACTCACGGCAAGGTCGAACAGAACAAGTTTCGTTGGAACCGTCTGGTAGATAACACCAGGGTTTATCGTGATGTGTTCTGCTGTCTTTCATACTGTTCTTTATGTTACGACAGTAGTTCGTCCCTATTTCTGGAAGGTTCTGGAGGAAACAATTGTCAGTTAATTGTCAGAGATTTTCAAAACAGTAAAGAATAATAATATGAAAAATCGCTTTAAAAATGTTGCTGAATCTTTTTCTTGATTCTGAATTCAGGTTGACGTAAGGTAATGATTGATGATATACATTTTTGTGTGTTTTATTAAAATTACCAGGTTTTTTGAGTCGAACTGTTTAAGATTTTCTTCTGTCCAAGCAGCACATTCTCCTTTTTGTGTTGAGCTATGCTTACCAATAAAATCCAGTCCTCTACCGCTGTAGCAATCTGAACAATTTAGTTTATTCATAAATTGGCAGTAGAGGTGTTAACATGTCATTCGGAGAGTTAAACTCATGCCAAGTGGAAAATGTGGTAGGTTTAGAAGTTAGAGGTAAGATGTCAGTTTCAAGTTACGTATAGACATAATAGGTAAGGAGGTAAACAGGTTTGCATCCTGTTTCTTTATTCATAACCTTTATCTGCCCAAAAAATCTACGATCAAGCGTTTAAATAACTCAAATAACTCGACTGACCGAAATAGAACTTGAGGTAAAGATAATTTCTGTCTAGAGAAACTCTAGGAGGGCAGTTCCGAGGAGGGTACAACTCTGGTTTGGTGTAAGGACACGGTCCTGCCGTTAGAGTTTGTACTGTCACCTTCGCTGGCTCGCCTAATTGGGGGAGGACAGTTTTAGAGAAAGACGTTCTGAATTGGATTTGTTGGAACTCAGGTCTTGGCTATGATTGGTAAAGGATGGATGGTCAGAAATTGCATATCTTTGTTTTGTGGGGTTCTGCATTCATCGAAAATAAAATGTCCCACTTCTAACTTACTTTCCCCGAAATCAGACGAGTAACTTTGCAGGATAAACTCGTATCGTGTGCCACCATCCAGGTTCTTGATAACTTTAGCTCGGGCTCCGAATGGGATTCTCACAGCTTGGTAGGTCTGCAGAGCTTGCCTCTTCTTTCTTGTCAGATTATCTGTATCCTTTAGGACGAAGAAGGGTTAATAAATAACAAGGGTTTAAAAATAACGACTGTTCGAAATGGTCACTGTGGGACATTTATCGCTAAAAGTAGACGTAGCGTAACTGTAATTTTCAATTTATAAGGGTTGCTATATAATAGTATAGGGTAGTATTATGAGTCATAACTGATAACCATGATTATACACGGCAACACAAAACTAAATTAATACACATCACTCTAAATTGAAAGAGTTATTGAAAGTGTTATTAAAAGTGTTATTAAAAGTGTTATTAAAAGTGTTATTAAAAGTGTTATTAAAGGTGTTATTAAAAGTGTTATCAAAAGTGTCATTAAAAGTATTATCAAAAGTGTTATTGAAAGTGTTATTAAAAGTGTTATCAAAAGTGTTATTAAAAGTGTGATTAAAAGTGTGATTAAAAGTGTTATCAAAAGTGTTATTAAAAGTGTTATTGATAAGCACCGAACCTTTGATTGGTCCTCCCCCGCTCGTTTGATATTCATCAGGTAATAGTCCACAAACTCCGAGCTTACTTTGGCCGTGTCCCAGGTAAGAAGCACTGCTGACTTGTTACCGTCACTTTCCAACTGTGATGAAGTTAACATTAGCACCGGGCGCCAAAATATAGCTTTGCGCAGACAATAGGATTGAACATTACACGATTTCCATTTGAAGCATCACTGATTTTGAAATAACCAATTTTTTGTTACCGTCACTATCAAGTTTGAAATAACAGGTGTTTTAATGACACCTCTATAGCTCTAAAATCATTTTATCTCCAATTAATCGATATATCAGTTAATATATGTATCACGAAGTCCAGCCGTATTACGAAACCACGGCAGAGTAATACAGTTTTCAGTGGTATCAGGTTAGATAATAATCACCGGTGTTCCCTGAAGATTAGAAGGTGCTGGCAGCTCATGAGGTGCTGTAGTGAAGCTGCTAGCTAGACTGTTGGGGCCGTAAACTCTGTTCCCGTCCACAATGTTAACACCTGGTGTGGGGAGGTGATAGTTGGGCCGGTTTTTGGCGTGTACTTACGATATTGCGATATTTGTTGAAAGAAACGTTCTCTTTAGGGTTTTTTTTTCTGGTTTTATCGATTATTATTAGTTTGACTATGAGTATGTACAGTTTCTTAGTTTATACCTCTAACTTCGATAAAATAGCCGGTCCCCGGCTTCAACTCGTTCACTGTAATTCCGTTTTCAGTAATATCCTTGATAACTTTCTGGAGGGTTCCATCTGCACTGAACAACCTCACTTCATACTCATCAACTCCAGGTATTTCATTAAACTTAAGACTAAGGGTGGAGGAGGCGTTCCCTGCCTTTTGCTCGTCTCTCTCAATCCTGTGAAACAGATTTAATTTACAAATGACGTTTTTACTCTGTTTTGATTTGTCCTCAGATTTGTTGCTGGTCTAGGCGAAATTCTAAATAAAAACTTCGGGAACTTAATTCAAAGCATCGTTCATTACTGTTTAATGATTACTGTCTAGTGTCTAAGAAAAACAATAAGATTTTCAGGAGGATTCCTCATAAAGTAGGATCCATTTGTTTCCAGAATATTTTATCATGTTCGGCGAAGCATTGGTTCAAGCAATGAAACGTTTGTTCGACGACGACCTCTGTTTCTATTTAGATAAATATTTACTTGGTTACTGATGAGCGTGGGGTATCAGGTAAAATCTCCAGTTCATGCGACTTTTGTGATATTGCTGAGTCACCGTATTCATTGCTTGCTCTGAAACCTATTTGTATCTTCCCACTTCCTGTGTGATTTAAAAAATAATTAACTGAGAATCGCCTTTAATTTCCAGCATGAAAAAACAACTTCGTATTTATTGTTATAAAGTTATAAAGCTTCTGATCCGTAAAATGGCTGTGTATAAGACATGAGACAATGAGATTGTTCCCAAATTTACAAGATAAAATTATTTAAAAAGGTATCGGATTTAACCTGAAGGCACTGTAAACGTCGCATGAATTTGATCTTCGTATATGGTGGTCTCGTTACTCTCGTCTAGAATAGTGTCACCAGAATAGAGTACACCAATAAAGCTGAAAAATAAGTACTTTTAATTTAACAGTCTTAAGTTCAATCAATGATGTAGTGAATATTCTACTGCAGGTTCCTTGATAAAAACCATTAGAATTTATTCGAATAAAAAACAAAATAGCATAGACTTGTTATATATCTACGACCCATATCTATAATCTCTGAAATGCGTGTGCAATTCTAACACGAATTACGTGAGTTATTAAAGGGTTGCGTGTGAGCAGTTACAAGTTACTTCTGGGCCACCCTGTATAGATTTTAGTTCATATAGAGCATAGGTACCTGACATCTCCAAGGTAAGGGTAAGAAGGCTGCAGGGAGCTAGCAGCCTGCACTCTATCCGTACCCTCGATATCAATAATGAGAGTCGGGCTAGGCGGGATTGGGGGTAAGTCAACCAGCAGCTCTGTTGTGTAGTTATCAGTAAACTTGTTGTCAATCAGGATCACACATCTGTAGGCTCCAGCTATTATAGACGACTGCAAGGAGGGTTCAGTAAAATATTTAATTCCATCATCCGAAATGTTTTTAGAAGGATTCCCCTCGCCATCAGGGATCGCTTTCAGCTAAGCCGGGCGCAATATCGCATAAGAAAGTAGAAACCATACGGGTAATAAGTGTGCTTCCATTAACTTGTGTCACACTTGTCACATCAGAACGCTACATTTGAAATCCTATATTTACCTTTGTCGTGATGACAATCGTGGAATCAATATCCGACTTGTCCGGGTGTTTATATCGAATATGCTGACCCATCTCTGTATCAAGGTTTAAACGCTCGTCGTTGAGCTCCCAGAAAGCAACAGGGTTTGGGAAACTGGGCCCACTCGCTCCTTTGCAGGGAAGAGTGACCTGAAGTTCAACTCATAAGTATGGAGACTTCATGTCATGGATAAAACAGTCAAGGGAAAGCGCCGTGAAGAATAATGTGGCATATTTGCCGGTGTCTTACTCGCCGAAGTTAAACCGGTTTAAATTACAACCGGACCTACTTTTCATAAAGTGTACAAATCACCAATTGAGAAACAACTGCACGAGCACGTGGTTACTCTATAAACAATCCAATCGTTATGAAATTCAAACCTTTCCAACCGCAGCCTGTAAATCTCCTTCATCTGAAACAGAAGCCTCTGCAGCCTCTATCTTCATCACAGCAGGAGGAATATCCATATCGAACATGATGATAGTCTTCACTAGTGTCAGGAGCATGTTAACTGGAGGGTGGTCGCCTGATTGAGTGGTCAAGTTCAGGGTAAGGGTGTAGTCCTGAGCTACTGATGCCTGAGGATGGAGTTGGTCATTAATGGGTTATAAAGACTACGCATCAGCTCATTATCAGATCATTGATTTTATTTAAATTTATGGTAACGACCGAGGAACGCATTTTTTTATACCTGAGCAATTCATAATACCAAGTTTGATCTTTTTACTTTAATTCTGTATCGATTCCTTACCTCGCTGGCAAAACTGTTTAGTCTCCAGCTAAGATGTTCCATTGACGGTGCAAGTGTTTGCTCTGACGGATCACTGTCTTCTTTTTTCGTGAGTATGGCGGCAGTTAACTCAGGGGCAGGGAAACCTGGAATACATTTTATCATGTTATGATGATGTATGTAGGATAAACAATTATCACTGGCATCGATTACTGGTGTTATCATTCTTTATTTTTGCTTCTGCGGTTCAAGCAAGCAAAGTGTGGACTTTTCCCTAATAAGAGCATTTTTACTTGTCGCAACAACCGGGATAAAGATAATTTTACACAGAATACATTACAACAATGCGACTCATAAATAATACTCCAATCCGGATTTTACATTTTCCCTGAGCTTTGCAATAAAAATGTATCCAGAAGCGCCATGATTCTCACATATGCTAAAACTCACATATAATATAACTAATATCGCTCCAATCACTAATAAATGCTACCAACTATAATTCATATCAACCATTAACTATCTTACCAGTGCAATTCACGTCCAGCTCAAAGTTTTGATCAGCGAAGGAGGATATATTAACTTGGTGAAAATCTCGTATTTTTAGAGCTGAATGATCTTCAAGAACAGTTCCATTTTCAATAAGCTGAAAAGAGCATGAAGTAGGGACCTTTGTCTTGGAGATTTCCAGGGTGAAAGAGTAAGATTCTTGTTCTGGTGGTGTTACCGACATGGTCAGGCTTGTACTGTAGTCTTCTGATCGTGGCACCTGGTAGAAGTGAATCAGAGTTAGGTTATGATTTTTATACCGAAATTAATGTTCGTTTAAATTTCGGGTGGTATACCAATTCTTTGTTGACTATTTAAGTATTTATCTCTAAAAGCTCCATTATAAAATGTTAACCTCTGCTGCAAAGTTATCAATGAAGGATTCGAAAATAAGGTCTCTTATGTCTTGAGTCAGGTTCTGTTCCTCTGTGTGGTTTCCAGTTTTCGTTGTTTTTATAACTGTCACATTAGGTTTTGGATAACCTGAAGGAATCACGTAAATATAAAACATCGTTAGCTACTAAAAAGTAAAAACTCTTTCTGTCAACTCAATAATCTAAGATTTATAAATAGCTTAAAAAAGAGCACTGTGCCATTTTTACCCACCAAAGCACTGGAATGCCACATAACAAGATCCCCCGACATCAACGGGTCTCTGAACAGATCGTTGGGGAATATGGAAGATTTCCTCCTCGACTCCCTTGACCAAGGAGACGGAGCACTCCGTGGGTATGGGAAGTTTGGTTATTCTGATGGTTCTGTCTGGAAGGGTGGTGATGTCTGATTTGGATTTGATGCCTATCGTGTAGGTCACGTCTTCAAATTGAGGTTCCTTGAAAAAGAGTTGTTGGAGTTATTAGGAATTATCAATTATACATGAGTTATTTATAACCATTTTACATAATTCACATGAATGTTTTGTGAGTTCAATTCCCGATATTGTGGGTATTTATGTATCTCGAAAAATATCATAAAACACGCCTTACATTTGAAGAACACACTAAAAATTAGAAATTGACCTTTGCTGCAAACTTGGTAATCGTGAGGCTCTCTCCACGTCTCTCGTCAGTGGGCTCTGGTTCTGAATCCTGTCCACTTACAACATCAATAGTCCATGTAATATCAGGGAGTGGGTATCCTAAATAGTACATAAAGTTGTTAAATTCCGATCATCAAATGCAGGGTATATGCAGAGTGAGATTACACTTATAATTATCCCAGTATTTTGGTTCAATTTTATCTCAAGTTCTAAAACTTTGATTTAGATCAACCTGAACAGATGAGGCTGATAACAATGTCATTGTTGTATTCGTTCTGAATTTCTAGAACATTCTCATCGGAATAGATCTCCCCGTCCACTGATAAGTCACAGCTTAGATCAGTGTAGTGGTAGGCCCATGCTGTTCTCTCTGCAGACTCTCTCTCTGGGGAACATTTTTATATTTCGAATTAATTCTAAAATTTACCACTCAAATTGATGTTTTCACCGCCTGGTTCTGTACGTACTAGGTGCCCTTAATTCATCAGCTGATCATCTGTTTGGCTTACCGTTATCGAGGAAGGTGAAGGAACATACGTATTTTCCAGGAGCCTCAGCTCTAATTGAGTCACCGTAGTACTGAGCTGATAGTTGTGTCACGTACTTTTTGACTTTTAATCTGGTTTTTGTTCCGTTGGGGTGGAACAAGTTCCACTTAACATATAGCTGAAGTTAGTTCTGTTAGCCAACAACCCGGGAGAGATATTATTTTTCTTTGGCACATTTTCAATAACATATAATATACGTTCAAACGACCCAAATTCATTAAATTATTCAGTGACTTACTCCGTTATAATCTAATTCAATTATAGATTAAATTTTGCTGTTGTTGTATTGGGACTTACTTTTTGTGCGGTAACATCGCCACTGAAGATCAAACCACAAAGCATGACGTTGCTATTTTTTTCTGATGAGACATTGTCAGGGTACGTCCTAATGTGGGGTCGCCACTCTTCTGCAGTGGATAATTTATTTAATTGAAATATAATTTTGTTAAATGATTAACGAGCAGTGCAATATATCAGCGATAAAGTAAGTAAGTAAATACTGATCAGCGATGAATACTGATTGTGTTTCACGAATAGTTTTAATATGAGAAAATAAAGCAGAAAATGTTTGGTATTTGAACAAGAATGTCCAATGTTACAGTAACTTGATTAAATTTATATCCAGCCAATCTCTCTACACTTGTCACAGCTGTCTCTTCCAATAAGACGTATTTATTGAGACAATTATCAAAGCGAACTATAATCATAACACAACGAAATATATCGCTATATCTGTTGAGTGTTGTTGACATGTCCCACCTTTGATGCAAAGAACAGGTCTGGTCTCTGAGTTATCAGCTATAGACAGGAAAAAGGAATTGTTGGTAGAAAACTCCAGGGCAAGAGCGTAGCCCTGGGGATATAGCTTGCAGCTAACGCCGATCTTTGAAGAACAATCTTCAGATTTCTCTTTGTATAACGGTACTTGAGTAGCTGTTGGGATGCAGATTTTAGGTGTTGTCGATTGATAATAGTTGATGTAAAATGGAGTAATCATCAACTGTAAAATCATTTTTATGAATTCACATCGCTTGAAATTTCCCTAGAATTTGTAATTGTATGCTTCAGTCACTTCAATGTACAATACATGACAGAATACAAGAATACAGATTCATATTTTTCAGGCCATTCACGAGAGCAAAAAAGGAAATTACCAAACTCGCTGTCAGCGTATGATCCTCCAAGCCATATGTTGCCACATGACCTGGATCTCGCTCTGTTGAAGTGAAAATCGTCCACTATACACGGCAGCTTATACCATCCTGGGATGGTTAGTTCTGTTAGCTACCCATTCATAGTTAGATCTCAAACCAGAGGTGGACCAACGGCGCAGATCTTCCAAATAAGTATTTTGAAAATATGTGATCAATCGGATCAAATCTTAGCCATAATCTGAATAAATATTAGAACGAAAGGTTCCAACCTGATTTACGACAAGCCCTATAAGCTTCTCTGTGCCGCATCTTCTCTTTAAAAAACAAATAGTCCACTCTCTCCTCAGTGAGCGGTAGATGGCACTTTGAGTTCTGATAGCAGCACCCAGCTTGGTAACAGTCGTCGTATGATATACCTTCCCGACCGCACGGCTTTATCGTGATTTTCCTGTTACTGTTAAGGGGAGCCGCGCAGGAGTCGGCCGTCGTTACGATCGGGTCGTTCGTCGTCGTGAAATCTGCAAAGTGGATAGTTTTTTAAGGATATAGATTTATTGAATAGACCCTAGTATAGGGTAAACTAAAGATTCTATGCGAAATTTAGCGCGAATAAGTCGGTCTGAATTCTGATAAAGTGTGGGTAGTCACTTTTGTACTCTGTACTGTCATTATTTGTTGCCAACGATAGAGAATATTAGACCAATGGTAGTTGTCGACATATATCATTATTTCAATTATCGGAATGAAGTGTTAACTGTGTAATTTAATATGCTATCACATCTGGTATTTTATAAGTAATAAACTAATGACAGAGTATTTAATATTATGATTCACATCCGTTATTATTGAATATTTATCTACTCCTAAGATGTATGTTTTTCCTGGACAATGAACGATAAAATGAGCTGTACCTGAGCAAGTTCCCGTCGGATCATCTAGCAGACAAGTGGGATTTTCTGTCAAACTGAGGACAAAACATAATCCAAATATAAAAATGTGTAGAAGGGCCATGGTTTACCAGGGCCTTAACTTGGACTACCACCCATCACTATATAATCCTCTTCAGTCACATTAGGGTCACAAAAACAACAGTATCAAGCTTGAGTATCTGGTGTCTGGTTCAGATGCGGGTCTTTTACTTGACCTTGGCTAAAATAATGTGAAGGATTATGTTCGTTGTTGGCTAGTGCCTAGTACTAGTAGTATAGTAGTAATATATTATGTAATATGTAGTTTTAACTATCCCATCTAAAGCTTCCCTTAACAGCACAAAATAATTTCAAGAATCGAACAATGAGAAACATAGCAAACTTGTAAAGATATGAAATGAGAAATAAGTTTAGTGCTGATCTTGAAAATACTTTGAAAGTATCATGAAGAACAGTGGCGTAACGTTGCCTGTAAGCCCCCCCCCCCCCCCCCCTCGCCGAAAATGCACCCCTCCCCCCTATTGGCGTCTTCTCCCCTTTTGGCGCCCCTCCCTAATATGGTAAAATCTCTAAAAAAGTGTGTTTCTAGAACAAAACGCGCAGTTTTGCTAGTACCTCAGTTAAGTTTTTCAAAATTGTCACACATTCAAACGACGATTTTGCGGCGCCATCCCCCCCCCCCCGCACAGCGGGGTCAGCGGGGCCCTTCGTTACACCACTGATGAACAAGTGTGTCCATTGGTACAGAACTCATGAGATCAAAGATGAACAAAGTAACCGGTTAAAGGATATTATGAGAATTTTAGAATGTGAGAGTATACTATAATATCCTCTTCAAAGTGTGTCGTATGGTGTATCATTTGTTAGGTCGCTACTCGCTAGGGGGTCTTCATCTTTTGTTATTTTTGTTTTTTTGTTGTTGATGCAATGTTGTCACTATTTTGGATTGACGGGAATGTAGAATGTAGACACTGTTTGTAGACAAAAGAAAAAGTTAGCACACTGCCTATAAATACTGTGTATGTAAAACTTAAAGCAGAATAAACTTACAGACTGTAAAATTGTAAATCTCACTTTTCATATAACTGTAAGTTACATGAAAAGTCGGGAAACAATAACTTTACAGACCGTTGTACTCAAAGAAAATAGTTTGAATGTTTAGTACAGAGTTCAAATGAGCAGGTTAAAAACTTTGTAACAGTCTAACAGATTTAAGGTTTCGTCTTAGACCGAAAGTTGTTCTGTAAATAGCTAAAATAAAATTGCGAAATCATAAGATGACCGATAACAATACATTTACTAGAATTTATAAACTGTAACGTTATTTAAGTCTCCAGGCAAACATCGTTGCTAGGCGGCTGTTCTTAAAGAATCAACTTCTATGAGGTTCTTGAAAGCGTTGCCTTAATTCCCACAAAATTTCAAAAGTTAACATTTAAGGTTTCCGCCTATGGATATCGATATACTGCTGGTTCCGAACAGTACTTAGTGTTTAAATAAGTATAAATATTTATTGATTATTAGACCTTCAAAATCATTTCATTAAAACCGAAATACGTAGCAGTAAAAACTCAGAAGAAAATAAAAAGGATCAAACAATAATTTCGCTACGATAAAAATGATCAGTCAGAAAATTGGCAAGCTCATCACAGAATTTACAAACACTAATCGATTAGATTAAAATACTTAACAGACAAATGGAGTACGTTTTAACAGTAAGCACGTGTAGTTTCTAGCGATTATAAAATAAAAGTAGATAAATTTACTGTCTTTAATAAGACTAAGAGAAACCATTTACCGCATCTTGTACCAGCAAAGTTATACCGCAACAAATATGTTACTTTGCTAAATTATTGTTGAGAAGGCTGGAGTATGAAATACTTTCCACGGTGAACGGCACAAAAGGTGAACCGCGCACAAAAGGTAAGATAGGCAGCTTCAAAGAAAATGGAAGTCTGGAGTAAACCTCTTGAACAGCTACTGTCAATAAGCCTAAAAATGGGCCGTGTGGGTAGCATGGTAATAAAATAATTGGCGCTAAAAGTAACAAAGGGAATGTCTCACAAAGTAGAAATTACTAAGCCCAATTTAATTGCATTGTACTCCAATTTGAGGTGGAATTTCCCGTACATTATAATACATCAGGAATTTAAAGTTTGAAACAGTTTCTGGCATGGAATTTCATGCAACGATACCGTTGTTTGATTTTCATGTAACACCGTCAAATGGGATCAATAGAAATTTACACAAGAATACCGTCAAAGAGTATGGGCAATTAGACTAATGACTATAAAGTAGCCACACAATTAAGTTCATGGAAAGTTACAAGTAGCGTCTATGTATATTACCGTCACGTGCTTCACATCCAATTAATAGTACTTAAAACTAGTAGATAAGACACGTTAGACAAAGAATCAAGGCTACGTTCACGCTATTTCACGTACTCATAACATCGCGAACAAAAATCTCCGCGACATAAGAACCATTAAATTAAGACACAGAATTAAGACACAGAATTAAGACACAGAATTAAAAGACAGAATCAAGACACAGAATTAAGGCACATAATTAAGACACAGAATCAAGACACAGAATTAAAAGACAGAATCAAGACACAGAATTAAGACACAGAATCAAGACACATAATTAAGACACATAATTAAGACTATACACGTACTATTACTAATGTTACACCGCTCTGTACCAGTACACATGCAATTAATCATGATTCAGGATAAAGCAAGAAGAGCAATGTAAGGCTACAGGTGGTGGTAGCTGGCTAGTATAACCTGGTTTTGTCTGGGAATATATTACTCGGGTGTTGCGAGAGCGGTGGTGTTGATATACGAAGTAATATTCTAGACAATTAGAAAGAGAGGGACCCGAACAGCTGTCCAGCATTTGATGGCGGTCTCGTTGACACTTTAATGGCAATGTTTCGATGAAAAGACAATTGGTAAAGGAGTTCAGCCATACAAGGCTTTACAGCTGGTACTTATAGAAATTGTTAGTATGGTAGCTTGACAAATAGGAATATGTAGGAGAATGCAATTCAATAAATAAACCAAATTAAGGAATTGGGTTTACTATACTGTGAGATACACCGCTGGCCCTTCTAACTTTCTAAGAACTTGCTGTATATTCGGTCGTGTGAAATAAGATCGATGTCACAAAATTCCAGATACAAACCCAGTTACATTTTATTGTTTATACGTCAATGCTTTACATAAAAAACCTCAGTAAACAATAATTACAGGACGCCCACCTTAGCCTTCTGCCTTAGTCTTACTACTGTAAACAGTAGAGAATAAAGATTTAACACCTGCTGGTTCATTTACCCTGTAGAATTAATCTAAAGGGTAATTGTAAAGTAATCTACTGTGATTATTTTTGAAGTTGAAACGTTACTGGCAACACAAACGAAATATGGACGAGAAAAAATTGGGAACAAAGTAGGGGTAAAAAGTAGAAAGAAGTGTTTAAATCAAGCCAGCTTTATTTTTGACTTTTGTAGGTCCGTGAAATTAAACTTTTAGGTTTTCGGCTACTTCCATTCAGCACACATTCCACTTGGGAGTGATGTATATATTTAAATCAATTCTTATTATATATCAGGAAACGTCGGCATTATCAGGAGAAGAAGAGTTAAACTTGGGTTAAAGATAGTTTTAAAAACACATTTTGACAAGATTGTATCAAATGTCTCACAATATCAACATTTAATCAGTCCGTTATTGCAAATCCGATGGCAAAATACTACCAACGTTGTTAAGGAAACAGTCTGCGCAGTCAAATTGTGCAAATAAGGGTCAAATAAGGGTCAAATAAGGGGAAAAAAGGGTCGAAGTAAGCCACATTAACTATAACAAGCTTGCCGTTTGGTTTAGAGTCCCAAGGGTTGAGGTACCCTGGTTTATAAATCCTCGTTGAGAATACAATTAATGAAGGATGTTATAACGCACTTACAAAACAGCAAGTTGTAAAATCTCAAAAATAAACCGTTCATCACATCGAATAGCGGAACAACAATACATTTAGTAACAGATGCTGTAAAATTATATGCTAAAATATCCGCACAATGCTGAATCAGATACACCGGAATAATATTATCTGTTTAAGTTGCCTTACATCGCTAGTTCCCGAAGCACATTCACAGAACTTATTATGGCCGCATCAGGATTTAAAGTTCTACAATGACCAAGCAACACCACTCAAGAAACGTCCACTGGTCGCTCATTTTAGACGAAATCTCGTCCATTTGCGGTACAAATGAATCAAAATCACTAATAAGTCCGTGCTCAAAGTGGTCCTTTGAACTTTGGGTGTTCACCATATTACTAACGAATCCGAGACATCCCATCAACTTGGCTTATCGCTCGATTGGTTATCTAAACTTCTGTATCCGTCCGATTGTCATAACTAAAGTAGTGCACTTGCCTAGTGGTAGATTCTCACTTTAAGAAATGGTGCACTGTTATTAGTCCACATGTCTGTGCTATTAGCACAAAAATCTGTACAATGACTTGTTGTCCACCCGACACCCTCTAGAAGGGCTTCAGTGGGAGAGGACCATTACAGATAATGCCTTTGAATCAAAACACATCCACCTCTGTCCTCTCACCTTAATAATATCCACTAACAGGCACTGATTAAGAAATCGTCGAGTTAGTTGAGTCTATTCACTTTGACAAGAAAGCCTATAACATGTACTCAATACAAGTCAATACAATTATTACGTAAGCAAATGGCCTACTATCATGCCGCTGACCACTGATGAATTTTCCAGCTGGCACTGTCTCGTCGAGTAATTATTATGAATTTTAGAAGGATGAGAGGTATTCCCAGTCTCTCTTATAATTGAGAACGAATCGAAATATTCGGATCAGTGTGCATATTACATAAGGATGTTATAATTATTCACACCTGTTTAAGATTTATGAGCATTTCTAATGGAAAGCCTTAGTCTGTTAACCATACTGCTATAAGCCACAACCTACGGTATTAACGTTAACTTGGATTTAATGCTGATGATTCAAGACCTCCCAGCCTTTCACATTTACGCTGAAGATATCCTGACCTATCGAGATTCGAGAAAGTTGCATGCATTTCTAGGTTTCAGGAACGATCAGTTCCTCTCTAATATATTGATAAAATTCATAAAACCTTGTATCAAATAAGAAAAAACGCGGGGTCTATGTCAGCCATCTCATGGTCGATTAAGAAAGATCAAAG